CACACTGTACAACACACACACACCTACACACTGTACAACACACACACCTACACACTGTACAACACACACACACCTACACACTGTACCACACACACACCTACACACTGTACCACACGCACCTACACGCACCTACACACTGTACAACACACACACACCTACACACTGTACAACACACACACCTACACACTGTACAACACACACACACCTACACACTGTACAACACACGCACCTACACACTGTACAACACACACACACCTACACACTGTACCACACACACGCACCTACACACTGTACAACACACACACCCTACACACTGTACAACACACACACACCTACACACTGTACCACACACACACCTACACACTGTACCACACGCACCTACACGCACCTACACACTGTACAACGCACACACACCCCTACACACTGTACCCACACACACGCACCCTACACCACTGTACAAACACATCACACCTACAACGTACAACACACACACACCTACACACTGTACAACACACACGCACCTACACACTGTACAACACACACACCTACACACTGTACAACACACACACCACCTACACACTGTACCCACAACCACACCTACACACTGTACCACACGCACCTACACGCACCTACACACTGTACAACACACACACACCTACACACTGTACCACACACACGCACCTACACACTGTACAACACACACACACCTACACACTGTACAACACACACACACCTACACACTGTACAACACACACACCTACACACTGTACCACACACACGCACCTACATACTGTACAACACACACACCTACACACTGTACCACACACACCTACACGCACCTACACACTGTACAACACACACACACACCTACACACTGTACCACACACACGCACCTACACACTGTACCACACACACACCTACACACTGTACCACCTACACACTGTACAACACACACACACTTACACACTGTACCACACACACACCTACACACTGTACCACACACACACCTACACACTGTACCACCTACACACTGTACAACACACACACACCTACACACTGTACCACACACACACCTACACACTGTACAACACACACAAACTGTACCACACACCCCTACAGCTGCTAAAGCATAATCAGGCTACAGCCGTTGTGTATTTTATTACGTGAAGCACTAAATGGTCTTAGAAACATATCGACTCTTTGTTTGTAGTTATCTACTAAACTACAGCAAAGAGAGTAGGCCTGTTATACTGAGTGATATATTATACACACTGCTCTGCTTTCTGCACGGACCTCACAGCTGTTCTCTCTGGAAACATCTCGTCGCAATGAAAGCAGTTTCTAAAATAATATCCAGGGGATGCATGCAGAGCTGTCATTGGCTGAGATAAGGCCGGCCGTGCGTCACGCCTCCACCGTTCCCGGAAATGCATCCGCGGAGGAGCCGTGGAGGAACCATCAGTGTCTCCTCGGTTAGAGCTCCTCCAGAGAGCCTCCTCGACGCTCGGTCCTCGGTGTGCATTTAGAGAAATGAGATGTCCTTCAACATGGCGCGCTGAAATCCATTTCCGGGCCACTACCGGAGGACCGAGGAGTCGAGGAGGGGAAATTAGAGTATTGAGAAACCTCTACTGTAGCCTCAGGCCTGATGTGTTGAATCGTGTCTCGGTTTCCTTTATTACTTTTCATTCCTTCCTTTGTAGCGTCCTTCCACATTATGACATTAGATGCTTCATAATCATCACGCATACATAACCTAACCATGCCAATTAAGAAAAACCCTTTCAATCTAATTGACATAATGCAAAGCTGAGGGACAATTTAAGGAGGTACATATATTGAGTGGGTTACCAATCAGAGTGAAACTAAAAGAGAGAAAGGAAGAAAAGAAAAGGTGTGTAAGACAGTGTGTGCTTGTCCTTCCCTATGCCGCTTTCATGTCTGATCAGTCAAAAAACACCAATGCATACGTTTTCTTTGACCTTACTCTGTACACAATATCAAACACACTGACTCTGTGTTGTCTTCCACTCTCCTCATAAGCCTTTCCTTTTTTCCTGAAGCTGATGCTTGTCATATTCCCTTTTTTGACTGTCTTATGAGGTGGTTTTGATTATGTTCCATTTCCATTCTCCAACCATTCCCTTTGTGTGGTTATGCTTTACTGGTAATCCAGCCTATTGAACTTCCCTCTGGAGAAGTGTGCTTCCTTTGATGAGCCAGGGAAAACCACTAAAAGAGGAACTTCGACTCTCATTTTCTTTACCTCTATCTGTTTCTTCCTCCTCCTACTCTTCTCTTAGTTGTCCTAAACTCTTCCCACTCCATCTCTCTTCCTCTTAAAACTCTCTCCTCTTTCTTCTTTTTACTTTGAATTTTAAGTCCTTTTTAAAGTCCTCTCTCTTGCATTCCTCATCTGCCTTCAACTCATCTTGAATAGACACACACACACACACATTCTCACAGCTTAAACACTGACTTTCAGTTACTTGGCACATCTGCGTGGACATGGCTTTGTGAGTGAGTATGTGCTTTATTTATTATAAAAGACACCTTGTGCAGTGTGTGTGTGGGAGGGTAGTGATAAATCTTTGGGATGAAAGGGAAGGCAAGCCACCCTAGGAGGTAAATTGAGGTAAATTGTGTGATTGAGAACTTAATAGCAGGCCAAACATTAAACCCATTTGGGACACGGCAGGGAGTTTGCTCTCCATGCAGCTTCATTTGTCTGTTCCTCATCCTTTCAAAGAATCACCTCGGGAGAGAGGCAAAGCAGAGGTCCGCTGTACATCGTGACCTAAATCGCTTAATTATGCGCTATGGTCTAGTGCAGGGGTATTAAATTCAATGTAAAGAGTTTCAGTTACTACATTTGGCTCCTAGCAAAGGTCCACACCTCATCAAGTCTAAATTGTCTCCTACGGTACAATCTAACCCTTCATCTATCAAACGAAATCAACAACTGCCATTCGATATCATTGCTAGTGTACATCCTCTACCTGAGCAGCGGTACATTTCATGAATAGGTCCTCATGTCGGAATCACACAGAATATAAGCTATAATTATAATAACAAAGTCTGTATGTGACACTGGAAAGTAGTATAGGTGGGGGAGATACTGCTAACAAAAAGCAACTTTCCTATTAGTGTAATTATGTGTTATTATCCGGCTCCCTCTAACAGACTTAATTGTCTTTAATTAGCAGTCACAATTAAAAGAGGCTACCAAAGGGATTAACCTCTGGTAGTAAGAGGTCCTGTAAGTACGAGACGGGAAGTGTGCCAACTATTCTCTAATCTATGTAGCCAAAAAATCCACCATGGGTTATTCCAATCAGTTATCACTTTCTCAAACATCAATCCATTTATCTGTCTTCTCCATCTTGCTATTGGCTTTCAGACATGTTTTGCACACTAACCCCGATTAGACGGTAAACATCAGCTTTTGAACATTCAGGCTGTCACATAAAACTGGAGTCAGGAACTAGCTTCAAACATGTCTCTGGCAATCAAGGTTGTTTGGATTTGGCTGTATTGGTTTTAATCTCTAATGTTTACCAGCGTGGTTGAGCACAATAGTGTAATGTGATTTATTTCTTTAGTTGCTTAACGAAAAAGCAGATTCTGACCTCACCATCATAATCGTGCAGTTTTTAGTCTTGTGCTTCCATTTTGTTTGTGTCTTTTTCCCTTCTCCTTTTTCTTCTTGTCAGCTGTTGCACTGTTTGTGATGACTCACTGTGAACCAAGGGATTTGCAAATGAATGTATCCAATCAAATGGGATTTGGGGCAAATAGCTGAACCAACCCTTTACTTAAAGCGACTAATTGTGTCCTGTTTTAGAAGAGGAGAGTTTGTGCTTGGATTAGTGTTGTCACGATACCAACATTTTGGTTTCGATTCCGATTATTTTTCTTTTTTATGATAAATAAAATTGTAGTTTATCTGTTAAGTGTTTTCTTACAACGTGGTCTCTTCTTTATACTTGAGTTTATGTGATTTATTTGATAGTTAACTTTATATTGTATTAACATGTAATAGTACAGTAATATAAATAATCATTGACAAAATGTACATTGCAGATGTTAGCCACATTGGTGAGTTAGCTAAAAAGATAGCCATATTAGACCGTTATCATTGCCATTAATTGCCTCGTCAAACTACGAAAACGTTAGTTTGTCGCAAAATAAATTACACTGGTTTGACTTAGATGTGAGGGTATGGGCTTGAGCATGATGTAATTATGTTATCTATCACATTCGCTAACCTGTCTGTCTTTAAATTCTTTAAACAGCTCTGGATGCCGGTCGGCGGGTGCTTAGTCAAGGTTGATGTGTTGGCTCCCTTGGTTTGCAGGGATCTAAAACATGTCTCACAGACAGGCCTCGTGGTGTCCGTAGGCTTGCCCTCACTGTCAGAGATATAGCTCAAAAACTTCCAAATTTCGCTTCTGGCGTCTTTTTTGTCAACAAGCCGAGGCGCAGCGGCAGTTGCACTCCCACATGCAGCCATGCTTCTCGTTGTCTCACATGCTCTGGCAGCTAGCGCGTGCATGAGAGAGGGGAGGCACTAAGTGCGTGCTTGAGAGTGGAGGGACTGCAGGCACGACTGCAGTGCAGGGAGTGGAAGTAGAGCGCTGAACACACACAGCTCTTATTAAAACAGCGCTTTCTCACCGGAGTACTTTCCCCCGTCATTCTTAAAGTACCGATACTAAAGAAACGGAGGGATCGTAACATTTTTAACGGCAGGGTATCGCGGTACCTTTCAAGTATCGGTACACCGTGCAACACTAGCTTGGATACAACCCTTTTGTTTCTTTTCACTTTAAGATGTCTGATGATGGAAACTGATGCTCTAACGGCCAATACTGTGACTTAAAGTCGTGTTGGTCGTCTGGTTTATCAAAAGCAAACAGGGTACATGTGTGGGATAATGCTTTGCGGTACATTTTAACTATCTTTCTCTCCCCTCTTCCATTCCTTATCACGCTCTTCAGGACATGGGTCCTTCCAGCATGCCCTCTGTGCCCCTCATGGTGGGCTGCGGGGTCTCCTGCACCGCTCTGCTCATCCTGCTGCTAATCTACGCTGCCTTCTGGAGGTACGTGTGCTCACACAAACACATCCCATTGTGCAGACAGCGGGCGTTTTCACTCACTATTCCGGCTCCAACCAATACATCAAATTGCCATTTGTCAATGCCCACTTCTGTGCCAAATCTCCAACGAGGCCTAATAAAGAACAAATGCTTCAACTACAGCAGGGGGGTGGTGATTCGCTTTTAGTAGCATACATGACAGATGGCGAAATCAAGCAAATTACTCTGTCCAATGTCCAAAAAGATGCTGTTCAATCCGTCAGTCTGTCGTTAATACTTATCTCAAATGCCTCTCCCCTCTCTGTCACTCTGTAGGTACATACGCTCGGAGAGATCCATCATCTTGGTGAATTTTTGCCTCTCCATCTTGGCCTCCAACTTACTGATTCTGGTGGGACAATCTCAAACGCTCAGCAAGGTGAGGCACAGATAAACACAGAGAGACAGAACAAACATGTTCCCCAGTCAACACATATATGATGCCAGTAATGCTGCCCTATTCAACAACGTCTTTAAAAACAGTGTTGTCAAGGTTCATACAGTGGAGTTCTCAAAGTGGCAGGCTGGCTTGGCACAAAGCACTCTGAGTACTCCCTGACTAAGCAAGACTGCACTGTGTAGTGGTCAGTATCGATCACAATAAGGAACACAGCAGTGCCAGGGCTGACTCCTTTTCTTCTAAACAATACATGCTTTATTAGAGCCCCTTTCCGCCATAGTCCTCTTTGTTTTGTGGAGGTTTTGTTTCCCTCTGCGGAGTATTTCTAATAGATGATTCATTATGACACCTCTCACACGACCTGTGTCAATGGTTTTATGTATGTCTTTTCTCCCTTGACTGTATTTGTCTCCCCTTCAGGGCCTTTGTACTGTGACTGCCGCCTTCCTGCATTTCTTCTTCTTGGCGTCCTTCTGCTGGGTGCTGACGGAGGCATGGCAGTCCTATCTGGCCGTCATTGGCAAAATGAGGTCACGACTCATTCGCAAGCGTTTCCTGTGCCTCGGCTGGGGTGAGCCTTTATTTGATGTCATTTTTAATAAATGAAGTCATTAAGTTAGTAACCTCTTTTTCAAAGGTTACTTTTTATTGTGAGAATTAACTCGGCGTGATTGAGAATGTTGAGTGATTCATTAAGTTTGTCTTCTTGCAACAACCTTCATTGGGATCTGCAGCTTGCCAGTTCATTGTGCGTTAACGACTCGAAACTCATTGGTCACTGCGTTTCAAAAGAGACGCTATCACTATCGTAGCCTCATTCACTACACTTAGAAAGCTTAAGTAGTCTCGTTGCTGTAACGGGAAATATGATCTGTGGTTGTGTCCCAGAGGATTTCAGCATAGCGAATGAAGAGATGAATTAGATGCTGATTGAACCACTGTTGTGTGACAAGAGTGTGTGATTGAGTAGCAAGACAGGCTTTTTTTAAATAAAATAAGCAATTGGAAGTAGAAGTGACTGCATTCTGCTTAATAACCTTAATTTCCTCTCTTTTCACTTGTATCCCGTTTTCTTTGCTGTACATTACTATTTGCTGTTTCAAGGACACTACATTGTTTCACTCCAATATAATCTTACTTAAAGGTCACCTATTATGCAAAGTCCACTTGTTCATGTCTCTTCTACATCAACATGTTTCAGTTTCAGGAACAAAGATTCTCTCTCTTTTTGATCCATTTCTATAAAAACCTGTCTGAAAAAGAGCTGATCAGATTTTGCCCACTTTGTGATGTCATAACGATTTTTGTCTTGTGTAACCATTAGCCAATCACCAACCAAGGTAACCCCCCCCCCCCCCTTATCACCTGAATCTCCTCCTAGAGCACCATTGTGTTCTTTGTAACCAAATCTCTCTCAGAGGGGCGTGGGGAGGGGCTCCTTATTTTTCATCTAAAGTAACAGACAGAGAATCAGCACTTTTGAAACAGGGCTGAAACAGAGGGGATTATGGGTAATGCTGTAATGATCTGTTTGGTGTTTCGAGCCAAACACTTCAGAGACATGTTTTGTGTATATCTGAGGATGTAAAACAGTATACTAGGTGACTTTTATTGAAGCCAAGGCTGTGAATTGTTACATGTGCACACAATCACAAAGGGTCACAGTAGGCATTGAGAGTCAAGATAATCTCACTCCTCTCAGCTGTATATCACCCTTATTCTATTCACCCTCCAATTCCCTCTATTGTGCTGTCTTCACAATGCACCGTGGAGGATAATCGAAACATTTGACGCCATCTGCACAACACTGGCAAGATGCTTTGAGATAGCAACCACAGCCTCTAACACCATCTCCACACACATTCACATTCACGCTCACACACACACACACACACACACACAATCACATCGTCCATTCGTTTCACTCGATATTGATCCCACCAGTCTAATCTGCCAAGTCACTGATGCCCTTACCTGATAGAAAGGGAGGAATGTATAGATTGTTGTATAGTCGCAGATAGAGAGATACTAAATGTGTGTGTGTGTGTGTGTGTGTGTGTGTGTGTGTGTGTGTGTGTGTGTGCGTGGGTATCATGCAGTGGCGGCTACATAATTATCCGCTTTACTTACAAATGCACATAAAATGCATGAAACAGTGGAGCAGAGAGAAGGGGATAACACAGCGTCGCCTCCTCACATCCATTTAAATATTTTGTCTACAATTTATGTGATTGAAATGAGTTGTCATGGAAACAGGAGACTTTAAGGTGTTACCTGATCCCTTTTAGATTACCCTTAGTGTATGTATGTGTGTAATGTAAAGGTGTGTGTTAGCGTAATATACAACGCTATATGCTAGGTTGATGTTGTCGTTGTCCGTTTGAAACTTAGCGCATGCTGCCTAGTGGACCAGCCTGGCTCCCCACCATCTTATTTGTTCATTTTAATGTGACTTTTTCTAATTGCTTTTCATTTGCAGCCATAATCACAGCTTTGTTAATTACATGAATATTTCAGAGCCAAGCTCATTACGGAGCCCAGCATATTTCCTTCTTTTTCTGGCACGCGCTCTGTGACACTTAAACTCACTCTCTTTGCCTCTCATTTGCACACACAGACACACACACACACACACACATTCAGACACACCCACAGCTGCTTGATTTAGCTAATTAATGCATGACTTATTGACCACTCCAAGCTATACCTCACATTTGTTATGGACTGTTCTCCAGTCTCACATGCTTTACTCCCCCACAGGCATTCTGGGTGTGTGGGTCGCCTATAGCAGTGTTATGGTAAAGAAGAATGTCCTGATTGGCTTAAGGATAGCTTCCCTCCCTGCACTGATCTGGGATCTGAGCCCAGTTTTCACGCCTGTAGCTACCCTGTGTGCCAGCGAGCACATGCAGCGCACTTGGGCTCACCTACAGAGCACTATGTCAGTTTAAATCACACATGCACACGTTACACGCTATTGCATGGCTGCTTAGCATTTGAATGGGAAGAACCATATGGAGTGGTTCACACCGAAGTATCCTATTTGGCCGACATGCTTCATCGTGCCCATTAAGACTTCCTTTTATCATTTGTCTCACCTTTTGATCTTCCTCTCTGTGTCGGCAGGTCTCCCAGCTCTAGTTGTAGCAGTGTCAGTGGGTTTCACCAGAGCGAGAGGTTACGGCACAGCAAGCTAGTGAGTACCACTTCCTATAGCGACCCCCTGGTTTCCTATGGATTGCTGGATTTGGACATTATAACTCAGCATAGCACAACTTTTACCAACATTTACTGCCATTCATTCAAAGCATTCAAAGTTATCCCTTTGCTGTTTGAAGCACTGTATCCTCTTATTTTCCCCTGAAGGTCTCTAGCTTCATAGATTTGTATTATTTATTTTTTTTAAAAGAAAAAAATAGCTATCTGGCAGAGGTGGTTGTTGATGCTCACTATTATTAACTTGGCAAGAAACAACAATCAGTTGTTCTCCCACCATTCATCCATCCATCCAATTTCAATAACCACTTTCTTCCTATCTTGAGGCACACAGGGACTGAAGTTTGGTGAAATGAAGATCACAGAACTAAAGCCCCTTTAAACCAGTTGGAAATCTCACTTATTCATGACTAAATAAGGAACAGTCCAAATTAGAGTAAGCTTTTCCTTATTTTGTCTTTAGATATTTTTATAATATTCTGAATCCATCAAAAACATATATTTGTTGTGTTTGTTTTCTTATAGTTTTGCACAGTTAAAAAATACACACATATTACAGATAGTGAATGAGGAACCGTGCAGGAAGATGTAGAACACCTGCTGGGCTCATTTGGAGCCTTCACCTAATTAATGTAAAAAATATAACAATTGTATAGAGAACACAAGATCAATGTAAAAACAATAGATTACATGTAATAATGATGGCACACTTTAAGAACAACATAAACAAAAAAACTTCAATACATTCAATAATTACACATGTAAAGATAATTTAAAAAAATAGATTTCCTTTAACACATTTGATCCACAGCCATGTTGCATTATAATAATAATAATAATAAATAATATTTTTATAGCGCCTTTCAGGAAACCCAAGGTCGCTTTACAAGTCGGGTAGGGGGGGGGGGGAGTAGGGGAAAAAAGGCAGACAGGTTAAGGGGGTGGGGGGGGGGGGAAGTAGCGGAAAAATAAACCTATTAAACTAACTATACAGTGACGAAAGCCTTGGTAAAAAGGTGCGTTTTGAGGGCTTATGTATTATGTATTATGTAACGCTTGTTATGGTAGATCTGTGTACATTAAAGGAGAACATTTAAAATAACCTATCGACAGTTACTGTTGGATTTACGGTTAATCAACAAATGCCCTCAATATTCTCTCTTAACCAGTCAACCAATTAAATCAAAACACATCATGATTAAAATATGTTTACAACTTTGTTCCCTTTTACTTTACTTATCATCTCATTAATAAAAGGACTTTATATCAGCTTTGGGGCTGTGGGTTCTTTCATCTGCTTTTTTTATTGAGCAGCAATTAACACAACACAGGGGTTTCCAGTGTGCTCTGATGACACAACTGGAGGACACATTTAAACTCATTAACTCTCCGCTTTTACACTAAATAAAATTCCACAAGAGGGTTTTTGTTCGGGGATATGTTTTAGATACAGTAATGTACATTATAAAGTCGCTCAGCAGTGAGGGCAATATTTTTAGAAAGAGGCACTTAACCAAGCCACATGACTGCTTTACATCTCATTCAGAAAAAACTCTAGATGTTTAATTGGTTATGTACTAGTTTATGGTGAAGTGTTTGGCACTCACAACAAGTGCAATGTGAGACCGACGTGTGGGGAAGTGATATATTTGAAACAGTACTGTACTTCTGTGATGCTTAAAACACATATTTGTTTTATCTTCATCTCTAGTTGCTGGTTGTCCTTGGAGGGCGGTCTGCTTTATGCCTTCGTTGGGCCGGCTGCTGTCATTGTATTGGTAAGTCTATCCCCTATTCCCTTATTCTTCTACTCACATTGCATAGTTCTGCAAATATTTTCCTTAAGTTAGCCTCTTATCTAAGAGTTGTCCTTCTTCCTTCACTCCTCCATGCATATGTGAGCTTGCGTAACTGTGCGGTAGCCATGCCAAAATGATAAGAGGAGCACTTTGATCCTTGAGTTTTAAAATGTCAGCTCAGAAACACACAAATAATTTCAGCGGGCAAGAGCTTTCCGGCAACTCCTTGACTGAATTATTGCCCAACAGCTAAATCTTCCTCTGTTATGTGTAATCATGAGTCACTGCACCCAAAGGTAAAGTCTGTTTAAAAACCTCCTTTTAGACATGCATTTGTGACCAACAATGTGCTCTACAATCATAATGGTGTGTCTTCTTGTTTGCTTTCGCCAAGTGGTGTTAAACAGACATTTTAATGTGCATGAATATACTGCTCTGTATTGTTCTGCAGCAACATCGATTGCATTGATTGAATCTTAGTGAGAGTTTTAATCATCTGTTGTTGTGTGTTTCTGTGCGTGGCTGTTTCTGGGATTACTTAATTTCTCCTAAATGAGTCCCTGGGCAGATATTTCCACCACTAAGCTTAATAAGTCTGGATGGGGTACTAAACTTCGGTTTGGTAATTGCTGCGGCTGCTGCTGTGTTTCTGCTCACGCATTCAGATTTGATTTCCTCGTTGCTTGCACAATCTCTCTGTTTTGTAAATGTCAGTAAGAAAGTGTTTCTCAGACAGCGATATGTGTTTTTGAAATTAATTCCTGACAAGAGAGTGGCGCTTTGACAGTCTCCTACATGAGTGAATACTGGATTTAACAGCGCTGAATATTAATAATTATATTCCAAAGACTGCTATTATTTGTTTATTACATAGTCAGAAAAAAGCAAACCACCACTTTCACATTCAATCTCACACTTGTTTGAGAAAATACACACGACAGAGGCGCTTTGTATTACGAAATCTATTCAAAAGGTGTTTAATTTGATAGGAATGGTAGGGTCCCTACAAAATTCTAATGAACCACAATAATAATGATCAAAAAAGTTCAATATAACCACAGATGTCTGTCAATGTTTAGTCAATGTATTTGATAAACACACAGTTTTACAGATCCTGAAATATTGTAACCGTATTATCTTAAATAATGACTTATTTCTCTTGACACATTTCAAAATATAAATACAAATGTAGGAAGTGTTAAGATGGTTATGAACATAAGCAGAAATAATTCTGACACACATGAGCTATTACAATCTATCCTTTTATAAATGCATTTTAATAAATGGATGTATCGGGAAAATATATGCACATTTATAGAGGTTACTCTCCCAAGCAAAAGACACAAGGAGAGAAGTCTATATTATGCCTACATGTTTAATGGCATAACAGGGATAACATTGAAAGAGAAACTAGTTATACAGGAGAACAAGCACTTGAAAGCAAAACAAAATTAATCAGAGCCTTACTGCATTTTATTCCAATATATTTAGAATTGTCACTTTCCGCATTATTTTTCATTTTATTTATATCGTTCCCATAAATAAGACGTATGTGTAAATGTTCACCGTAAATCGGTGCATACAATCTCATCTGAATGCAGGAAATGAAGAGCTTGATACTTAAGTATTCCCAGGGGAGGAGCGCTTGAAATGTGTCGCCCCCTTCGTCAAAATCTAACCTATGCCCTTGAAACACTGTACATTCATTTATAATAGAAAAAGAAATACATGGAGATGTATCCTCCTAGGTTGTGTGTCAGTGTCTGGCGTTCCTTGGAATGATTCCAACCTTCAGCAATGTCGACTCCACACCCCAGCTGTTATGTAATGGTCCCCGGCCCCCCGGTGTTGTTGCTGGGGCCCCTCTCTAACAAACATCTGTAATGAGAGAGGGACGACGGGCAGAGAAACACAGACCTTCCCACAGGACTCTTCTCTAATTAATGAACCTGGCCCTGGGCAAATAGCAGAGCAGGATGATGCTGACTCACAGAGCCAGGGCCAAGACATGACTGGCATGACAAAAGTGCTCTCACAATCTGGCACATCGTAGCTAGTTGTCAGCGGCAACACACACACACAAGAGGGAAGGAGATCAGACAGAGGGAGAGAGTTTTTAGCAAATGGCTGCCAGATGTACCGTGGATATAGAAAAGGAATTGTCTTCAAGTAAAAATCCGGCTCCGGTAAAAACTAGAATTTCAGAAGAAACACCTTAACTGCTCAGCTTTTTTCTTGACTTCCAGCAACCGTGCATTGAATCTTTCAAATGTATCTGCCCTGACAGAAGCTGCTCTTAGTAACAGATGAAGGCAGGGATCTATGCAGACGTTTAGTTTAGGACCTCGATAGTAACCAAAATGCATTGCATACACAATGTAGGTATGTACCAGAGCGTGAATGTCATTACTCGCTAATGCACTGCTGACACACCAAAGAGCAGCAGCAGATGAATAGAAAAACAGAGACGACACACAGAGAGGCATAAAGGGCTGGAGGAAAGAGTACATATGAATTTTGGAAATCAGGATTAGAAGGAATATGCCGCTGGCATAGAAAATCTCCCAGATGGCGAGGATTTCAGAGAAGAGGTCCACATGTGGCACGCCTTGGCTCAAATCTGTGTGCGCCTTCAGAGTCTTTGTCACTGGGTCAGTGTGGCCAGATGTTTGGCAGGCTTAGCTTCAGGCTCCTCATTAGCAAGAGAAAACAGGATGAAAGGTGATGTAAGGTGGTCACAACACAGAAAATATCACAGCTTGGAGTCATATTATTTGCTGGAAAAAAAGTGGATGATAACACTGCACATCTGAAATATTTTTCAAAGATTGCAAGTTATTTTCAAAGTAAAACAATACATTAAATATGTAAGACTTCAGAATGCTCAGAATGTAATTTGGTGAGAATAAACAGATTATTATTAGTCGTTATGAATATAAAAATAAATAGATTTTTTAGAAGCATACTTCTCAGAGTACATTTAAAGTTGCCACAATTATTTTGTCACAAGTGCTGCCACCATTGAAATCTGTACTGCCACTAGTGGCCAAAATCAATACTGCAATTAACTACACATTTGCATAGAGAGGCAAAGTCCCGCCCATCTACTTCCGCCCCATGGGACCTTATTTCGGAAAAATTATGCATTGAAGTCAATGGAGAGAGAAAGATTATCTTTCGATCCCGTTTGAATTGTGCCACGAATTACACATATGATGTTTGTCAATCTTAAAAAATAATTTCCATGTCAAAAAAGTCACTGTTTGTTGTAAAACTGTAGAAATATAAGACTATGAAAAATACGCAACTAGAAAGACTACAAATCCCAGAGTCGCGTAGGTGATGTCATTAACGATACACATTACACTCGTGTTACTCACCGAAACCTTGTAAAGCCGGTCCGCATGCTGGCTCTTACGGAACCGACTAACTCCCCTTTTCCGTATGTGCAGCTCTCAACATGCCCAGACTTGTAGTGATTTTCACTTATTTTAATGCTTTTCGCCTCATTCTGAAAGAAAGAGGCGAAATGTGCTACCGTGACGGCCATCTTGGTGTTGGTGACGTGTGCGAGACCAGAGATGTAGTTAATTGAGCGCTTCACACAAATAAAAGTGTTACTTCACAGTTTTACGACACTTTTTTATTTTTTTGACTTGCTAAATTATCTTTTAAATTGACAAACATCATATGTGTAATTCGTGGCACAATTCAAACGGGATCGAAAGATAATCTTTCTCTCTCCATTAGGGGTGTAACGGTATCCGTATTCGTCCCGTACCGTCACGGTTCGGACGTCACGGTTCGGCACACGCAGTCACACGACGAATACGCCTTTTTTTTACGAGTAGGAAAAAAGTCTGTCATTCAGGGCAGTATCCACTACACTATATATAATCCAGGGGGCGGTATTGCGCCTAAAAGCTGTTTGCCAGCCGCCCTTAAACAACAAATGAAGAACAAGAAGAAACACAACAACAAAACGAACAAAATACAAGAAGAAGAAAAGTTAGTATGGCGATTTCAGATAACACACAGGAGCTAGAACCCACCTGCTTCTTTTAAATCAGCTGTGTGGGAACATTTCGGGTTCCCTGTGGACTACAATAACGATGAAGTGTGCGAGTGGTGGATCGGACGAGGACGGTGTGTCGCCGTTGTTCTACAGTGGTGCGGTATGCTAATGGTAACACACGCCAAACATGCTAAATCATATCAGAAGGCATCACCCAGATTTGCCACTCACCGGAGCCCGGCAAAAGACAACAACAGTTCAGCAGCTGATCCCCGCTGTTTTTAATAAACCAATAGACATGAAAGCCGTGAGACCAAAATAAATAGCGGAAGATTTTGGCATATGTTTTTCAACGACTTTGCGCTTTTGAAACACTTTCTTATTATTTATGATGTCATATTTTCAAGACATTCTTTTTAGTTTTACAGCTTGATGAAACCTTTTTGTTTGACATCAGCCATTATAGATAATATGGCCATCTGAGTGTACTGTGTATGGTTTGTTTTTAACTGTTTAATACAGTTCATTATTCAAAATGTCAGAGTTCTTTATTTTTAAACTGAAACTTGCACTACTGTTCAAACATAAATAACAACAAACCTGGAATTATGCATTTGGGACCTTTTTTTGCTTTTTTTTGTTGTACCGAACCGTGACCTCCAAACCGAGGTACGAACCGAACCGTGACTTCTGTGAACCGTTACACCCCTACTCTCCATTGACTTCAATACATACTTTTTCCGAAATAAGGTCCCATGGAGGTTCCCCGGAAAGGGAGGGACTTCGCCTCTCTGTTGTCAATTCTGCAGAGGAACAATATTTTGTAGTAAAAAAAAAAAGTGATAGGACCCTTTAAGGAACATACGATGTGTGTACTATGCAAAGTCGGGAAACGGAAGAGTTAAGTGTTCGAAATTATGTTTTATCTGAAGGCTGTGTTTTTGGAAATAGGATTTTGTAATAAGCTTAAAGCTTGGTTTTTGTTGGAGAAAGAAAGCTTTGGTACCATAACAGCAAAGATACTGTCATTTTTAGTCTGTGGTACAATCAAAGTCATCTTTAATCAACTGAAACATTAGGAGAAAAGAAATGTGAGCATGTTGGCATCCATTCTAGCAATCCTGATCAATCTGTCCTCTCTGTCTCTCTCAGGTGAATATGCTCATTGGAATCGTGGTTTTTAACAAGCTCATGTCTCGAGACGGCATCTCAGACAAGTCTAAAAAGCAGCGAGCGGGGTAAGTTAACATCCTAAACTCTCTGTCTGCACCTCACACACACACACACACACACACACACACACACACACACACACACACAACACACACCGCTTACTCATTCAACCACTGTTCTTGGTGGGGAATGACTACAAATGTGCTGCATTAAATACATATCACCTTCTGTCAGGCACAAACTCAGGGAGACAATATTTGTAATGCAACAAACTGCGTTCAAAGGACTCTGAACGCACAAACTTGTGCACTTGTGCCTCCCAAGAAAAATTATTATAAAATACAGTCAAATTTGGCAAAAAGACATCTGTTGTGTTCTGTTGCTCTGTGAAATCTAGTGTTTCACAATCACTTCCAAGTCTGCTTTTCTCAGTTGTATGTGAGATGAATAGGTGGCCATGTGGATCAATGGCAGATGGAATTCTAATTATATTTCGTAAACACACAGGATTATGTTGGTTGAATCAAAATCAGACAAAATGCAGACACACACTACATGCATACATACTACAGTATTAAAGACATGTTTATGCATCCACCCACATCTTTACTAATCCTTTGAGTGGGGATTCCCGCAGCTCTCACAGCCAAGTCCATGTTTTCATTTCCATACGTCCATGTATTTTGTTCTCTATCTTTTTCATTACAATTCCTCCAATGTCTGTCTCTTGCACACATTGAAATTGATAATGTGTGTATAGCTGAAAGGGTTAATAACACTGATGGTCTCTCCAGGGGGTTGATTAGCTTTTGTTTCCATTTGAATCAATAGAGATTAAACCGGTTGTTGTTTACAAACATACACACATAAACAGATGCACTCTTCTTTGTTACAGGCAGAGTCCTTGGTGTATTCTGTTTATGATAACAAATATAGTTTTGTTGATTTGAAGTGAGGTGGTATGAGGTTCTATCTTAAGTTAGCGTGTAACCTTCAGTACATGAAAGTAGGCTGAGCCCTAGTTTTGGAAGCAGGCAGGAGTAGAGCAGTATTTTAACCAACTAAAGAAAAGGCAAAATAAATAAAAAAGGTTTTCTTGATATATATTTAGAATATTTCCGTCACTCAACCTTGCCGTGAGACCAATCTGTTTTCAAAGGGGAACCGTAGCCGTTACCAATGATCTCGCCAAAGCCACTAAACTTACTTGAAATAAAATGCTAGTTTTACCATGTCAACACTGGAGTTTCTGGGTCTCACGCTGCCTGATGTTCTGTGTTATTGTGTGATTATAAAATACAGTCACATTTGGCAAAAAGACATCTGTTGTGTTCTGTTGCTCTGTGACAGAACACAACAGATGTATGCATATAGTGTGTGTCTGCATTTTGTCAGATGTTGGTCTAACCAAAGTGCTTATAGCAACAATAGTTAGCGTTGGACCAGCAACCCCTGTGTTTTTTTTCAAAGGATTTTGGTGGTTTTGACAGTAGCATGGATAGCAGCTTCAGTTTCTTGTTAAAATGGACTGTCTCCAGGCAGGGTAAAGGGGTTCAAATACTCTCAATATAGCGTTCACTCAAACATATATATTATTCTTGAGCCTTTCTTTTATGTGGCTGAAATCTCTTATGCTGCAGCGCTCCTTCACAGCAGAACATTGCTTTTCCTTACTGTCTGCTTCTTCAAACTGGGACCATACAGACCTCCATATACATTAGGCACTAGACTGACTATGGATACTAATGACTTAATGCGACCCCACTTCAAAACATACCAACTATAAGCCCACTCTCTCAGATTCTCAGACGTCCATGTTTAGGAGCGCATACATATCCCAGTGCTACTTCACACAGTGGTTGCTCGTGTTGCTAACAGGACAGACTGTCATTAGCGTAATGTATTTTCTTATGAAGCCGTGGGGATGTGGCTGGCGCTAAAGCAATGAGCTGTGATGGGACGTTAATGTAGCATAGCCCGAGCATGGCCACATCATTCTCCAGTCGCGCTATATACACACACACACGTAGCACGAACGCATACACAGTTTCTCTCCACCTGAGTAGTCAACTGTAAGTAAACAGCCAAAGTCTTTCTCTTCCTCTGCACCCTGATACAGCTCCATTGTGCACAGCCCTGCTTACACAAGCAGTGGAATAACATAGTTGGTGTATTTCCTGTCTGTGTCACTGTTATCTGTTATTCCACACTATTCTGCTGTAACATTGCAATGTGCGTCTCTCACTTTCTCTGAGTCAATCTTTGTATTCTGACTGTTATTCATTGCTGCTACTTTTTAAAGATCTGGTTTTAATTTGCCTTTCTTTCTTTTTCTCCCTACCCTTCCCCCTTTTTTCTTTTCTCCTCCCTCCCTTTGTTGTGTCCACTTTTACTTCTTTTCTTTTGGTTCTTTTTTGCAACCTACACATTCACCTGTTGCCATTACCGACACTTGTGTTTCCACACATTCCCCCCAACCCCACTCCAATTTCTCCCACCCACATGGTTGTGTGTCTTTGTGCACATGTCCTAAAGTGTCCCAGCGGAGGCGCGTAGCCGACTGCTCCTGAAATGCTCCAAGTGTGGCGTGATCTCGAGCACCGCTATGTCCAGCCAGACTGCCAGCAGCGCCATGTTAGTCCATCTTCATCTTTCTAATTTTTCTCTCTCCCCATTCCTCTCTCTGTCTCTTACTCTGCACCATCTTCTCTGCCTTCTTTATCCTAATCTCTGGCTGTTGATAATAATGCAGGATGACATTCAGGAAAAACAAACAAATTAAAGGGAAAAAACGTGTCCAACAAGCCGCCGATATTTAATGAGTGCATGTCTTGATCCAAAGTGGATTTTCCTGAGGTCATGCAACCCGACCTGTGTCAGGCAGTGTTTGTAAATCAGATTGTTTTAACTTGTTTGTCGTGCTGGATTGTAGAGGCTTGACTTGTTAGGGCAGAAGAATGGCAGGAGTTACGGTGTGGCATTTTAAGATGTGTTGTTGTACCTTTGTGTGCTATACAAATAACTGGCAAAGCTTTTGAAAATATCAAATGTCTTTACATACTGTGCAAACTAGAGAGTGCTACACGGCTGGAGAAATGAGTTTCTAAGTATGTTGTGGCTCTGCGGGACGCTTTGTCGAATCAGTATTACATATTAGGTTTAGCAGTTTAAAAGGTCGGAGAAACCTTGCTATAATCCAGTGCTTTTTGCATTTTAAATTCCATATCAAGGACTAAAGGTCCAAATATCTCAGCCTACATTTTGAATTAATCTGTTTGAATACAACATTTCTCAAACAATGTTTATTACTTTTATATTTAATATAAGGTTATTAAAAAAAAGCCTCTGACTGCTACACCTGTTTCATTAGGATGCAAATCAATATCGTGCAATTTTCTAAATGTAATAAATGGAGGTTAGTGTTATATGCATTTCTCTGTATGCATCAGTGCTTCTCAAAGTGTGGTCCGCGGACCACTGTTGGTCCGTGAGCGCCCCCTAGTGGTCCGTGAGTATATTGGTAAAATGTCACATTTGAAATAAATTAAAGTTTTCCGCACTCTCGCAGGAATATCTCCGCAATGGAGCGAGCTTAAGTTTCACTTTCGATTGCATGATATAGCCCAGATAAACACCTTCATCACACATGTGGCCACTTGTTGGTACCATTTTCAGGCGATTTGTAAAAAACGATGTGTTTTTGGATATTTGTGGAGTTAGGTGGTCCTCGAGTGTTTTTTTATTGGTTAAGCGGTCCTTGGTATGAAAAAGTTTGAGAAACACTGCTCTATAGGTTGTTAACGTGTTAGCAGCTGCCACATAGTCTTATAAGAAAATAGACCTTATTTATATGTATTTTCTTTCCTTGAGAACAGTTTTGTTTTGTATTCATGGTCTAATGTTCAGAGCAGCCAGTCTGTTAATGAAAGACCCTCCTCCCGTCTTTCGCTTGCAAACCATCCTTTGCATATTTAACTACGTCCTTGTGCAAATCTTTCATTACGGCTTTGTGTTTGTTTTAGAGGAGCACTCTGTTTAAAGCAGGAGCACTGATCTTAGTTGTGTTGTTGCATGATTGGACACTAATGGAATGAGATTGCCTATTTGCAGTAACAAGTTTGTATCAGTCTCTTGTTGTCACTAGGGAAACACGGGGCCATTATCGACTTTCTTTTACCTATCTTTGTCAATCTCAGATCCACCTACATCTTTGCTGAATGCATAATAGCGTATTATTAGAATTCATTTATACCACACATTACTGCATTTCTTCTCGCTGCTTGTGAAATTCTACTTTGGCTGGAGGGTTCTTCAGAATAATGAGTTTATAGAAATCCTAGCTATAATCAAACAGTCTGTGCGGTATAATTTGTAATTTACTGAAAAAGCATTCAAACACAATAATTCACCTTCAATGTTTCTCACATTACGCACGCCTTCACTCTCTCTAGTGTTATTATATAGTAAGCCGGGTCTATTTATACCTAAGTGATAAAGCTTTAAAGAGTAGTACTTGGGAATTTATTTCTAGATGGAGACAATTTGAATTTTGTGATAAAAGCGTCCCCCATATTTCTTTCTCCCAAATGACATTGTAGCACTTAAAAATAATAGCTCATTAAAGACACTTATTATTTACAACGAGGTACACTGGAAGAATTAGAGTGTTTCTTTTCTCTTAGAATGTGTCGTGGAATTGAACCATATACTATGGTTTTTAAAAAAAGACCTGGAAACGTTAACAAGAGGACATGTTTTAGTTAGATTTTCTATTTTAATCAAAGCTTTGGAAATGCCCCTGTATAATGACCTGCATAACTCTCAGTGCAGCTAAACAGAGCTGTCTGTCAGTCAGACATTTGTAAAACTAGGAATATGTGCTCGAAAGGCATGAACATTTTAAATTGGTGTCTGACTCTGTAGAGTTACACATGCACACAAACACACACTCCTACACACACACACGTACTCATCAGAAGGGCCCTGTGTCAGTACTTGTCAATGGCCTGTCTTCTCCCTCCCTTTTGGCCCTCTGCCTTTTGCCTCTCACTTCACCAACATGACACTTGCTGCACACCAACCCTGTAATTGTGAGCAATTGTCAGTGTCATAACTATCCACATGATTACACATCATCTAGCGCATCTCAGTTGGAATATTAAGCAAACCTCGGTGTGCCAATCAGCTACAAACTGCCCACCACTGAACCTCTGACTGATCTGTGTGTGTGAGAAGTGGAATTGTGTGACTTACCAAAGATGGCTGGTCTGGTTTGAGACTGAACCCCTTGTACCTTCTCCTTGTTTCCTCTCCCTACCCCCCACCCTCTCTGTGTCTGCCTTTCTTTCTCTTTCTCTGACAGGGCGTCTCTGTGGAGCTCCTGCGTAGTTCTCCCCCTGTTAGCATTAACCTGGATGTCAGCAGTGCTGGCCATAACTGACCGGCGCTCCACACTTTTCCAGGTGATGTTTCTCAGCAATACCCTTACACACTGTATCTCTAAGACAAGTGCTGCACTATAGAAAAGGTGGCTTTTCATTGGTGAATGGCATCAAATAGGGGGAGGCATGCTTTTTGAACTTTATCACATTAAAGGGGCCCTATTATGCAAATGTCCAGGTTTCATAATGCTGTTTTGTGTTTCTACTATGACATGTTTCCATGCTTTAATGTTCGAAAAGCTCTTTATTTTTCTCATACTGCCGCAGCACCTCTTTTCTCCCTCTGTCTGAAACCAGAGCTCTGATTGGTTAGCTGGTTAGTGAGTGGCCACTTATTGGAATCTCTAAATTGTCAGTTCTGGCGAAGATGCTCGAACGCTTAGTGAGTGAAGAAGTAAAGGAGTTTTTATGTAAAAATAATATCCTGTCAACATCAGTCAGGCTTCAGAAAGCAACACAGCACCATCACTGCGACAATGAAAGTGGTGAATGACATTACGAGTATTTTAGATAATAAGCAGAGTTGTGCAGCTCTATTTATTGACCTTTCCAAAGCGTTTGATACCGTCGATCATCGCATTTTGAAGCAGAGGCTGGTCAGTATAGGCATATCCAGCCATGCAGTGGGGTGGTTTGTGAACTACCTCTCTGAAAGGTCCCAATGTGTTCACTTTGATGGGCTGTCTTCTGAGTGGTTAAACATTGCTAATGGTGTTCCTCAAGGTTCTGTTTTAGGTCCACTTTTATTCTCCATCTACATCAACAGCTTAGGTGAAAATGTGGATGAAGCTACTTTTCATTTGTATGCGGATGATACCGTGATGTACTGTGCAGGTCCCTCCATTCAGGAGGCTGGTGTTAAATTACAGGCTGTTTTTAACACTATTCAGACTCAGCTCGCTGAACTTAAGCTTCTTTTAAATGTTGATAAAACCAAGGTAATGCTATTTTCAAAAGCTAAAAAGACACCAGAGCCTGTTTTAGATATTGTTACTATGCAAGGACAAGTACTAGAAGTGGTTGACTGTTACAAATATTTAGGTATCTGGCTTGATGATTGTCTTACTTTTAAACTTCATGTCAATAACCTGCTTAAAAAGCTGAGGGTTAGGCTAGGTTTCTTTTACAGAAACAAGTCCTGTTTCTCGTTTGAGGCCAGGAAAAGGCTCTGTGACCTTTGACCTGTGCTGGACTATGGTGATTTGTTGTATATGAATGCAGCTGCCTATTGCCTGAACAAGTTAGATGCCGCCTATCACAGCGCACTGAGATTTGTCACAAATTGTAAAGCACTTTGGGTAAACTCCCGTATTATATCTGCTCCCTGATAACACAGAGAGTTGCAAGCAGCTATTGTCTGAGATCGCATGATGTAGTATTGTTAGATGTGCCAAGAGCAAGGACTGTCTTAGGTAAGACAGCTTTTATGTGCGCAGCTCCACTTGCTTGGAACAGTCTTCAGCAAGAATTGAAACTGAGCAATCTCATTCCTCTGCATGTTTTTAAAGCTAGGTTAAATGAAATGCTCGTTGATACTATGGGCACTTGTAAATGTCTATAACTAGGTAAATGTTCCTGTAAATATAATGTATAATGTCCTTTATTGTTTTATGTTTCATGTGGAACCTATATGCTGCAGGTCTCCGTTGAAAAAGAGATCTATGATCTCAATGGGACCAATCTGGTTAAATAAAGGTTTGAAATGAAATGAAAAAAAATTAGATAATGATATGTAATAATGGTCAACCGCTGTCAGGTGTTATGTCCCTTATCCTGGGGAATTTGGCAATGTATCCTTTGCAGACCATTACATGCACACAACACTAAACACACTATAGGAAAGGAACACCCAGTAAAGCATAATGGGGCCCCTTTAATCCTGAATGATTGTGTAAATAAACCAAAAAATAGGATCAACTTTGGAAAAAATATAAAACAATGAACAAACGATCCCACTATGTCAAGACCATGATCAGAGACACAGCCTATGAATGACAATATGAATGGCTGCACTGATTTATTAATGGCTTGGTTGACTCTTGTAATTCCTGTGTTTCTCTAATGATCCCTGAGTCCTTTCACTGCAGCTTCACAGGATATGATAATATATGGTGGGTTTGAAAAAAGGGTGCTGCAACATCCCGGGGTGCCTTAAAGAAAGTTCAAGCGAGACACAAGATTTATTTGTGTCTCTTTTTTTCGGCGCATTTTTCATCTTTCAACTTGTCAGAAAACCGTAAAACAAGGCATTTACTTAAACTGCATTTTTATATTCCGTTTGGAAATGTATGAAAACAGGGAGAAAAAAAGGCATAAATGAATAAAATCACCATATCAAGATCCTACGTTAACTTTGCAATAATACCACAGATAAAAACGGTAATGGCAGCTCAGGTCTCTTGTTGCCATGGTAACACAACACACTTTCTGGCTCTCTACCCAAGTGAAAAGAAGTCGGAAATAGCAACTGTCAGAGCGGTGATGGAAAGATTAGCACTGGAATCTGCTCAGAGATAAGTGATGAAAACGATGACTTTTAATGCATAAAAACTCTAATGAATGAAACCAAATATTGATATGCGATCATATATATCCTGTGTGACACTCTGTATAGTATGTGTTGTGAGAGGAATCCATGGAAAACAAAAACAATACTTTAAACAAGTGCAATTGTTTTACACTTTTTGGGACCACTATGATAATATAATGTGTCATAATTAACAAGGAACATTTTGTTGTCTCCTCCAGGTCCTCTTTGCCGTCTTTGACTCCGTCCAAGGTTTCGTCATCATCACCGTCCACTGTGCAATGCGTCGAGAGGTAAGTTCGTTTTTCCTCACTGCAGCTGTGTGGATCCGAGACATTTCGAGTTCATCCATTTTTTATTCAGCACCACACGGTGACCTCAGCGACATTCACTTCCTCTGACGGGTGCGATTCATGTTCGTAAATGTCACGTTAGTTTCCGGGTCAGTCTGAAGTCTCTGCAGAACACAGGCGGACCAGACATAAGAGGGATTAACCCAGTGTTTATGTCCTGTGTTATGGCGATTCCTCTACGTAATGCAGTATGATAGTGCAGTATTGTCCATCTGATCCAAGGCTGCTTTAAGGAGCTTAGTAAGATGGTGTATGAAATAAGACGATAAGTCCCCGACTAATACCCTCTAGTTCCTTTTTGCCACATGCTTGTGTGTGTGTCCCGGGATGCTGGGTTTTAAACCCATTGTCAACATACATGAAGTCGTGCCCTTGAGATAGACATTTCCACACACTCATTTTTCATCTGGCTAAATCAAAATTGGACTCAATTAATGGATTTACAATGTTATCGCTTTTCCATAACTGTAAATGTGTCGCTGATGCATGTACACCACACAGAGCCTTGCCTTTATCCAAGAGACCATTATGATATTGAATGCACTTCATGGTGTAAGTGAATTCCTAAATGCTCGGTGTGCTTAGCTGCATTAAATCAATATCACAAAAGCGGCAGGGATCAGGGTACAGTAAATCCAGGAATTATTTATTGTAAGTGTATGAAAATCCCCTGCGTAAATCCTCCGTAGCTGCTGAACAACAGGCAGAGGGGAGTGCTGTACCGGAGGGAAGGGAGGGGGAAGAACACGGGGGGAAACGAGGAAGCATTATGCTGCAAAACAAGAGGGAAGGCAGTTGAGAGTGTGATGCTACTTGAAGTTAAGTACAGACTCAAAACACGCCCTCTGATAATGCCTGTTGCATGTAGGGGTACAACGGAGGATAAAAGGAAGGAGGTGGCAGGGTAAGCCTGCTGAGATCAGTCAGGAGCCAGCAGGAGAGGAAACATGTGAGGGAGGTTGAGGGAAGGACTTAGTTAAGTGAGTAGAGAGGAAGGGAAGGAAGGAGAGTGGATGACAAATTGCATGCAGAGATGGCGAAGGGGACGTGATTCAAAAGCGAAGCAGGGGATGATGGTAAGGGAGGAGGAAATGGAGAGCAAGGTGGAGAGAGGTACACATAGAGGAGCTCTTCACTTTGATGTCAGGATGAGCTGCTTTTCACACACACACATGGGAGAACAGGAAACAAATGCCACGAAGGATGAGTATGGACATAAAAAGAAGAGATGGATGGAAGGAAACAATGGAGGCAATACACTCGCCCATGCAGTATTAATCAGACATAGATTCTTCTCCAATCCACTCCGTTTGTAGCGACACACACACACACACACAGATGAGACCACCCAGCTAGATTGAAGATGCTCTCGTTCGCTCTTGCGCAGCGTCTTGCTCAAGCACTCTTGTATTTCCACCCATGAGATTCTTATGGGCTTTGACAGCTGCAACATTGAGAAATGATGTTGCTCCTCAGCAAGTAACCAGGGTATCTATAATACAGAGCCCGATGGGGGGGGGAAAGAATCTCAGAGTCGGTTGTGAAACACGATGCGCACGATCCATTTGATTTGAGCTATGTTACAAGAACCTGACCTTTGACGGCTGGCTAGTGTGTGTTTGCTTAGAATGGCGTACTTTGGAGGATAGAGAAAAAACAACAAGACGGCAGTCAAAAAGCCCATTGGTTGGAACATCCTATAAACCACGCTGCTGGTTTTAATTTGGGCCGAGCGGCGCTGATCTCACAAGGCTCAAATACGCCACTTTAAAGAACTGCTTTGTACTTTCTATACCGCACTGAAATGACATAAGCTACAAGGCTGAGCTATTTGCATAGAATATAGCTTTTTTGTGCCTTTTTCACATAATTTAGTATTCACTGGACATCTGTCATTGCAGTGATAAAGACTAGGAATATATCATGTCTGAGGGAGTGAGTTCTCCATGTTCCAGCGTTTGCCAAACCTTTAAGTAAAAAAGTAAAATGTCTGCAAACTTATTTTCTTTGCATCCTTCCTCTCCCTTATTCTGTTCCCCTCCCACTCTGTATTTATCCTCCTTGTTCCCCTCTTCTCTTTTCCACGCCTTTAGGTGCAGGATGCGGTGCGCTGTAGGATGGGGGGATGTAAAGATGACAGCGAAAACTCCCCAGACTCCTGCAAGAATGGACAGGTGCAGATCATGGTGAATAGCATTTCATTTCATCCCGCATTGCAATCCATTTGCTTCATACTAATGCTGGAGCTTTGTAGCTTCAGCTCCAATAACAGGAAGCATGATTGTTGTGCTCAAACTCATACCTGGCTCTCACTTTTTCCCTTAAGGAAGTCATTATTGTTTATGCATTATGCATCTACCATTTTTATTTTCCCCAAAAAATGTAATTTACCTTCGAAAATGCAATTTCCCTCCCAGCCTAAAGAATCCTGTGGTGTCATAACTGGACATGAAATGTTGTCAAAAAAATCCACTTCTGTAACAGTAGCCTGCATGGATTCATTTAATTACATTTGTATATTCTTGTTGCTCGCATTTTCTTCATGATGAAAATGTGTATATTGCTCATGGCAATACCAAAACATTCATTTCAGCACTTTTATTTACTTTGAACCTAAACTTCCTGCTCTGTATTTGAAGAGCACAGAGCTCCCGTAAGGTTATTGTACGTGTTCCAAATCTGGCTAATAGCGTGATAAATCATATAGACTTGAAATGCCTCGCCAATGTCAGCACGGTCACACTGCGACTATGAGAGCACGAGCGACTCTCACAACGCTATTCCCTTTATTTCTCCCTCAGACCTGTTTGCGGTAACGATTATGGCTTTCTGAACGCCCCTCTGAGGTTATCAAGATTAAACTTTGGTGCCATCATTCTGCTCGGAGAACCCATTATGCCACATTTTCTTTCTCTGTTTTCATAACCGAGAGGAACATCTACAGTCGAACTGAGCTTATTTGATTTTGGGTTAAATGTATTGTTATCATACACACAGCTCGTTGCTGTGCCAACTATTTCTCGGCTGGTAAAGTTTCATCTAAAAGTGACGGCACATATGCATGGACGGTTTAATGAACACAATACCCTTGAGAATATTAATTATGATGGATAATTTGGAGCCACCAGTAATGCAATGTCTCCATCATAACTACTCTCAGGTCGTTGCTATTGTCAGTATTTAAATGTTAAACCGCCGACATTTAGAGATATTATAAGACGTAGAAGTGCAGCTACACCTTCTTATTAAAGCAGTATAAAAGCCTTTTTCAGTTAAATTGTTTAATTAGTTCATCTCCGTTTTATTTTTGTATTCATTCATTCCTTTTACACCATCAGAATTGCTCTAATGTGAACTTCAGTGGGCAGCAGTATGGCTCTCTGCGTATCGGCACCCCCCCGTGTCTGTCCAGTTGCCACCAGCAGTTGCCACCTGCAGGCCACCAGGCCTGCCAACAAGCCTGTTACCACAGTCTGCCCCGCAGCAACAACCAGGGGCTCGAGCACAGCCATGCACACGAGCATAGCCCCATCCTGAACAACACCCACAACCACAACCACGCTCATAACCACGTCGCCCACAACCACAACCACATCGGAAGCTTTCCAGTATGTCACTCGTAGAAAATACATTGTCATTATGAATAGTGAAGCCCATAGATGGATTAAAGGTGGAATCTGTAGAATAATATTTTGCAATGACTAGGAACAGATATGAGAGGAATGGTTAGACATTTAGAAAAATACCCCTTTCTAGGAGGTAAATGAGAAGATGGAAGCCTTTTATATGGTTTTCACGCTAAATATAAAACCTATAGCCAATAACTGGCTTAGCGTATTTTAGCTTAGCTTAGTGCAAGGACTACAAATGGCTCAAATCACTCATGGACTTTTTATATTTTGTTTAATCTGTAAACAATCGGAAGTTGGAATTGTTACTTTATTGTGTTAAAGGGGGGTACTGTGGATGTAGGATCACTTCGCCCAGACAGAAAATAGTCCCACACAAACCCTGGTAAAAACACAAGGTAGCAATTATACATGTTTTATTTATCTTAAATAGACACACAAGACATAACATGCTTATAAGTAGTGTTAGCAAGCTCGTAGGCATATTATTTTCCTGTTGGAAAGTGCCAGGCTAGCCTTTTCCCATATTTCCTGTATTTATGCTTTGTTTTAATTACATATTCCACCTTTAAATCTACGTAGGAATAGCTATGGTGTATAATATAGACTCCCTCTTTTACTTTAGCATGGTATACAGACAATATGTGTTTTTAATTGATTAAGAACATATTGGTTTCTTTTGCAATTATTTCAGTAGGAACCTCCCCAGAAGGCTGTGTTTTATTGGATGTTTTTTCATTCAATAGGACTGAGCAAAATAAACGTTGTTCCCTTATAGTGTTTGTTGACGTTGATGACTTAACCTGAGGGTTTTATAGAGAGAGTGTATTATAGTTAAAATAAAGATGATTTGTTTTTCTCAATTTGAATGCTAGAGAGTGACTGAGAGAAAGAGAGAGCGGTTTATTTCATATCCTCATTCGTCCATTTAGTAGAGACCCATTTACGGTGCTGCGGGTGATTTGCGTACTAAGAGCTTTGCTGCTCCTCTGAGACCTTCACATAGTCTCTCCTTCTCTCTTTCAGTTTTTCATTCTCTTCTTCGTCTTCTCTTTGCCTGTGTGGCGGGCCCAAAATATCTAAAATCTCTAGTTTATTATCCAAACAAAAGCTTTTGTAAATGGATCCCACCGAGGACAGGAGGAGGCTCTTTGGTGAGAGAAGGGAGGACCACGACTGCATAGCAATGAGCTTCACTTTCGGAAAACTTGAGTGATAGCCATTCGAGAAACAATACTTTTTAATTCAACCCACCGCCCTGTCTTTGGGAGTTTTACTTTACCCAGAGGAGAAGTGCCACCCTGTTCTCCTCAAGTGAGAACAAACCAAATAAACATACACTTTGAACCTTATCTACATAAAAAGTGAATCGGAGTGCAGGTTAAACTCAGTGTTGTGTGGATGTTTGTGTTCCCTGGTGTGAATGAATTGTAAAGGTACAAAATATGTTTTTCCAGTCTAACAAATGCTTGGCTGCAAGACGGCAAAGTTGTGCTTCAACTGGCCCAGCAGATAATTGTTTAGCTGCAGTGTAAATGACTCTCCCGGTTTGCATTCAGACGATAGCGAGGTGACTGTTGAGTCGTATAGTTGCATTACATAGCTGGAAAAGCAGAAACTGGGTTCTGCTCGTCTTGTTTCAAAACTGTATTTGGATCTGCTGCTGTGCACTGATACACAGTAGGAACAGAGTAGCAGTGTTTGCATAATTCTCTGCTCTTTTTATGTTTTAAAGGCCTTGAAAAAATTCACTTTGAACAAATGAAAACTGAACATGTATGACTTAAGGCACCGTCTCATTCACAGGGGGCTATAGTAATTTACTTGTTGTAAAGTGTCACCATAGCAACAGATCCTTTCGTTTTTTCAACTGTCAGATTAAAACATCATTAGATACAGCATAAACCATTTCAAATCCAATCACTCATCTGGCTGGTGTCTCTATTAATACGTTGAATGTAATGACACTCATTGTATTTCCTCTCTCTTCCCACCCTTCCTCCTTCTTAGACGGATTTTGAGAAGGATGTGGACTTGGCATGTCAAACAGGTAAGCTCTCCCTTCCACATGATTTACTTTTCCATTTCTCCCTTTGTCTCCTCCGTTGTCCAACACAGGATTAGCATTGCAGAGAGGCAATGGAGAGCTGCAACGTAGCTTGCTGCTTTGCATGTTGATAGACTGACAGTACATGTCCACACAGCTGCACACCAATTATTATTCCTTATCAATCACACTGATTCTGCCCAATGTGTGTTCAGCGAGCATATGTTTGAATGAGACTGTGTTTAATTGGGCATGATAATAACACTCCTCAGTGTGTAAAGACCTGTTTCACTCGCTGCTGGTCTTGTGTTTGGATATGTTACAAATGTACCCCGATGTTTTGTGTTTGTGAAATATTAACAGTCACTTTCCCCCTCCATCCTTGCAGAGAGAGGACACCCATGTAAGTTGTGCACACGATTGACCTTATTAACACTGCCTGGTTTGTCCCTCAACCTAAATAATTCCTATAGACGAATCTCAATTGTACGGGGATGTAGAAAATCCAACATTACTGCAGTGGTACCTCTCTTGTAAACAGACTTTTTGATAAAGAATTCTAACAAATGGTTATTCGTTTTTTCTTTGCTTTTGCTGTTATCAGCTGCAACGACACGGAAGATAAAAACCACAAGCATCTGCTCAATTAAATCAATTTCACTTAGTCAGTAACCGAGGACCAATCAGCTGCCAAGAAAAAAAGAGCCCCCATAAACATTATTTGCTATTTACTTTTTGGCCAAATTACCAATATTACAATATAAATCCCCCCCCCCAACTGTTTATCAAATGCTAATTTGAACCTCATTAATCAACATTAATACCATGCCACCGCAGTAATGGTGTAAAACTACCGCCGGATTCGTCTATAGTCCATTCTGTTGGTCTCCACTGTTGGATGCAGATGTGAAGGGATCAGATTTTGCAAAACCTTGTCAAGTCCTTTCATATAACGTTGCACCAACAGGACGGTAAAACACAGAAAATGTGATGTTTTGTACTCAGCCAGTGTCCTTGCTGTTATATTCAGACTCAGCAGGATCCCGCTTCAATTTGTGATGAAACGTGGTGCTTTTGAACATTTTGTCACATCAATGCTGGTTACACAAAAATGGTCTGTGCTAGATGCTTTGGTTAAGAATTGGATTTTGCGGCCACAAAAGTACATTTCCTTTCCTCTGATGGTGACAGAATGAGCATGATATCTGGCATGAACTTGAAAACGGTTTGAGTTGTGTTTGATTGTGATGATAGATTGATGTCAGATGTGATTAAGCATCGTCTCTGATCAGCATGTCATAGTTAATTTTGGAGTAGCTATTCTAGAAATATATAGTATTGTTTGTAGTTTCCCTTCCTCAACAACTTGCATGAAAGCTAACCCAAATCCACTATAAATAGTTTTTATTTACGGTTTTATGAAATGAAAACAGGCCCTGGGCGAATACAGGAATACACGTTGATGCACATGCATTAAAGAACATAGGTATATTCACACACACACAGGGCATACTAAACTGTGAAGCAAGATAGCAGGGATAGAGGATCTGGCTCCATTTCCTTGGATGCACATTTTGCACTTTCTCCAAGCTAATAAAAATGTTGGCACACCGGCAAAACTTTAGTTGGAGCATCACTTTAAGGTCACAGTTTTAGAGACACAACTCATCTTAGTAACTTCGAACCGCATAAGACCAAAAACTGAAGTGACATTCTCTTGGATATGCAATATATCTCAAAGTCACATCAAAGATTCAAACAAACTTCACTATCGAAACCCTAATGTATGTTTCTGTTTCACCTATCTGTCGCCTGTTTGACATTTATCAACTTATTTCCATTACATTCCATTCCTCTTTATACTTCTCAATGTTCTGCTTCCTCAACATTTGCCTCTTTCTTAACCTCACTTATTTTAACTCTTCACTTCTTCTTTTGCTTTTACCAACTCCCCTTTCCCCGACTCTATGTATTACCATGGCTTCCCTTGTCTCCTCGCACCTTAGTCATATTCAAGGAGGTCAACACGTGTAACCCGGCCACCATCACTGGCACCCTTTCCCGCATCTCCCTGGATGATGACGAGGATCCAAAGCTAGCAGCCCATCAGGAAGGGGTCAACTTCAGCTCCCTCCCCGGGAACATCCCCCCTCCCAACCTGATCGTACAGGTACAAGATTGAAGTTTGCATTGACTGACCTATTGCTTGATCTTCTTCTAGTCCCAAAACTACATTTAAAAATAATGGAAAATGTAATCTAGCAACAAGAAATTATCAAAGTTGATGATGATTGAAAATAACTTTATTAGGAATACTAAAACGTTTTTGTTCCACAAGGTTCCAACCCTGAGCGGCCTGAATGAGCTGAGTGAGACGCCCCTAAAGAAGGACGTGAACCTCGATCAGCAGAGACAGCATGGGCAGCAACGTAGCGGCGCTCCAATCTACCTGTGCACCGAGAGTGGCCTAGGGTGGGCTCGACCGCCCCCCTCCTCCAACACCTCCCAGGATGGAAGTGCCTGTAGTGGAGGCAGTGGATGTGGGAGCGGAGTAAATGGAGGAAGTGGGGAGGGAGATTACATGGTCTTACCTCGTAGGACGGTTAGTCTCAAACCTCCAGCTCCCTGCTCTCAAGGAGGAGGCCTGGGTCTGGGGGGCGAGGACAAGCCCCTCAACATCGCAGTGGAGGATCCTCCCTTCCCCCCGCCTCCCTCACCCCTGACCCTCCACCCAGCTGAGAGTGAGGCGTACCCGGCGGATTTTGTGCCGTCAAGCGTAGGTGACATGAACATCGCCATGAACCTCAACCGCTCCTATGGGACGATCAAAACCATGCCCCACGGGCACGCCCACATGATGGCTCCGGGTGGTCTTGTACACTCCCACGGAGGACACATGCACTCCCATGGGCATTCGCTCCAGCTGAAGCAGGGCCAGAGGCCGTCGGTCAGACAAATTCTGACAGGGGGATCCACAGTGGAGAGAACCAGGACCCTGCCACGCAACTTGGGCAGCACCAATGCCAACAGCAGCCACTCAGCAGGATCCTTGGAGGTGGGTGAGAGGTTGAGGGGTGAGGGAAGGAGAGGTTCCAAGTGTTGGTGCCACTATGTTCACCTTTCACTTGAGCACACAGTTGATGTTTACGGTTATGGATGCAGTGGCGGTGGTGTGTGGCTATGTATGTGAAGTTGTGGTGGTAGAATGACAAAGGGGAGGAACGTCCTCTGTAGTACTCCTTAGTTGGACCTGTAATCCTGTAAATGCAAGGATTGAAAACACTTTTTGAAACATTTTAACAGTAAAATCCAAATAAAACCATTTACATCAAATGCAAAGTCACTTAGTTAAAGAAAGATTTTAGTGCTATGACGTTTGCTTTTTTCAGCTGAGTAGTATTCATTGCTGCCGACTGAGGCAATCAGCGTTGGAGTGTGTGTGTGTGTGTGTGTGTGTGTGTGTGTGTGTGTGTGTGTGTGTGTGTGTGTGTGTGTGTGTGTGTGTGTGTGTGTGTGTGTGTGTGTGTGTGTGTGTGTGTGTGTGTGTGTGTGTGTGTGTGTGTGTGTGTGTGTGTGTGTGTGTGTGTGTGTGTCACCCCCTCCTAACTGTACAAGGTGGTACAGCGGATGGACTGAGACAGACAGGATCAGAGGAAATACCCCTGGTGAATGTTTCAGCCCACTTTAATTGTACACACACACGCTGACGCACACACTGACACAAGCATACATAGACACATACACACAAACACACACTTTGCATCTTTCCCCAAATGGCATCTTGCAATGTTGATTAAAGAGATGGAAGCGACACTTTCACCGAAAAAGTGCAGATGCTTCACTTAGGGCTGAGGACGTTAAGGATGTGTCATTAAAACGTATAAAAAATCAGAAGAGCTACGAGAACACTCATGAATACCAAGAAATACAAAAAATGAATCTGCAGAGAAACCTGCGGGATGTAATTTACTGCTACAATTTCACCCTGTTTGAATATGCTTGATTTGGAGATGGATATCAGAGCGTGCCTCTCAAGATTAAATCACAGCAGCACTTTATTCCCCAATTCAAACACGGTGGAGGGATCACGCAAATGCACTCTGTGTTCATATCACTGTCAATTTTCAGTTAGAGGATTGTAAATTTAAACTCTTATGTTGTCAATGCTTACGAAATGTTCACAGGGCATATTAGTTTATTATCAAACTATACAAACCAGTGGAGGGAGTATTCAAAGATACATTTGTATCTCCTTACAACTAAATGTTAGCTGTAGAGGACAAGTTATCATATGATCCACTGCATTAAGTACAGTGTGCTATTGGCTATAGGACCATCATTTCATTGTATAGCAAATTGTCGGGGGATTCCTCTTGAATTTTGTATGAGTGAGTTAATGACTGCTTTATGTGTGTGCCCACCAAAACATGCAATATACTATACATGTATATGCATGTTGCATGTCTACCATATTACAAAGCAAACTCAATCACGGAATTTCTCTGTCCAAGCAAGGTAAGGATGTATCTGTAGGAGAACCGCAATTCAGTGTGTAATATGAGTAGTAAAGTGAATAGGATGCCTCAAGAGAAAAACTTAACCTCTCTATCTGTTTGCATATGTTTACCTTTTAAAACTTGGCTGCCATAGCATTAGATCAGCAATCAGCTTTTAACAAACTGTGGAGAGCAGCTCCTCTCGTTGCCAAATGCAAATGTAGCAGTCGGCGAGAGCCAAATAGGAAGTCAGGGATGGAATGCGATGCAATGCCAGGGCCAGATGAGTTGGAAATGTCTGCAGCTGTTCAATTCACAGCTTGTGTGCCAATCGCTATAGCTGCCGAAGCACTTAAGAGGAGAGTGGTGGGGTCCAAACAAGATTAGAGCAAGAAAACCATTCTTCATATGTTTGTGGCAGCTCTTCTTATCAACATGTCTAAAAAAAAATTGCAAAGGAGGTGATTTATTTATGCTGGGTTTGTAAAGATTGTGAGCCAAGGAATTATTGTTTCATTCTAATTCTGGGTTATTCCACTTCACTAATCTCATTACGTTCAAATAGACTGAATAATTAGTATTTTGCCTTGACATTTGTAAGGGTGTATGTGTCGTGTTTGGCAGCCAATGCATATTAGCTTTCTTCTCGTGACTGAACAATGGCACTTAGAGTTCCACAGATGCATTGAGATAGAGAGGTCTTAAGTTCAATAGTGGTGGAGGGGTTGGTCATTGATGCTTTCTTCTCTCCCCCTGCCCCCACCCCTCCTCTTCCAGAGGAAAAGAGTACGGTACTCTGAGCTGGATTTTGAGGTAAGATCACAGACCTCAACCCACTGTCATCAGCCTGTCTGCTTTCTTGTGCTTCTGCCAGGACTTGAGTAACGCATAGAGGAGCAAAAAGCACTGCTAAATCCCTCCCTTCACACCTGTGTCTCGCTTGCTTTTAGGACTATGGACTGTTCTAGATCTACTTTAGATATAGTATGCTGTTTCTCCAACAATGGCCTTCAATCTCTACCTATTTAGAGGCTGTCAATGTATGAATCAAATAAAAGAGAAAATAATCATTATAATAATTACATGTACAATCAAATCAAACAATAGTCATTTTGGGGGTCCTGGTTAAAGAAACAGCAAAGTGGAGTGCTTTATGTGTCTGAATGAATACAAGTGATTCAGTTATGGGTCAACACGTTTATGGCTGTAGTTGTTTGGCTGGTTTGACGGTTTTCTCTTGGAACAACATGGTTTGGCACTGTGAGTATGTTTGTGTTAGAAACACCTGGGTGTCTTGTGAATCTCCAGTCTATAGCCAGCATCACATTGCAACAAAATAATTTCCTTTTCATTGCCCTTTTTTGCGGGAATTCAGTTCTGTTCAATAGACTGTTGCAAAGACTGGACATTCACTTTCCACCATGGAGATATATCTGCATCTAGGTTAGAGGGTATGCGTGGTCACAAGCTACTAACAGTGACTTTGGCTGACTGTTTTACTCGTCCAGAAAATGTAATGGAGTCATTTCTGGCCGCTGCATGAATTTAGAAGAAGATCAACTCTATTCTCATCAATAGACTGTTGACTTGAGAAAGAGGTTGACGTAGAAGTACCACTAATATAGCAAAGTGTAAACTTCCATGATTTAATGGAAGGTAATCCCATTTTCATCCATGTCTTATTTTTTTTCAAATGGCGTTTTCCCATGACTTTAGAACGTAAAAATGTTACTTTATATAAACTACAATATGTATATGGACAGTAAACGCTCACAATAGCAAGCATTCATTAGTTTTAAAGAGCCACATAAACTCTACCAATAAGTCTAACTTCAACCAAACAACCTTAATATTTCAGTAGCTATAACTGTAACTTGTTTCAGCTTGGTAACATATAGTTACTAAATAATGAGTTGGCTAACATTAGCTTGTGTTAGCTAATTATGCTAATGTTAGCAAACAAACGTTAACTTTAGCCGATGTTAGCATATCTAGATACATTAGCCAATTCATCAGGTTATTTGCTGCTTAACATTCCGTAACCTCCCTTTTAATTGTACAGTAGTCAAATAGGGTTACAGGTTTTATTGGACATAAATAAAAACCTTTGATAATGTGTCTCAGAAAAGGAAAAATAAACACATAAAAGGAGCAAGGAACTAGTAGCACCTTCTTAGCTGAGCAGAGATGAGAATGCCCACTCTGGAGTCATTGGAGCCATTGCTCAGCGCGAGTCCTGGCTGGTAAGTGTGCGGGTGTTAGTGCTGGCACTTTGCCCCTGTGTCACTTTTAACCTTGCAAGCTGCTTTGACGATTAGCTACTGCCGAGCCGCTATAGCACTGCCCATTAGCACTGAGGGACAACAGTAGTGGCACTGACAAATGTAGTTTGCTGTCAGAGGTTTATAGATCTGGATTTATTTTCCTTCCAGACAGACATATTCAGAACTTAGGGATGGCAGTTTTGTCAAATATCATCTCAATAGGGCGAGAGTTAAATATCAGCCCTTCCTTTAGACATTTAATGAGATGGACAAAATCCTGATTTAACAGGACTGCCAGCTAGCAGAGCCCAGTCTTGAGCAATGGCATTTCTGTCAGTCATTTTCACAGAATGTTCACTTTAAAGACTCCTCTGCAGCTCTCCCAGTTGCCAAATTCTTAAAGACTGGGGAAGTGGATGATGTATGAGCATGAGCCAACAATCGATCGATCTGTCGGTGTTCTTCTAACCCCCTTTTCACGGCTGGCGTCACTGCAGTCCCTCAGCATTTTACCCATTTTCCCTTCCCCTGCCTGCCCCTATATGGCCCCCCCTCTTCTTTTTGCTTTTTTTGTTCCTGTTTTTGGTTCATTTTTGCTGTCCCTTCCTCTCTTCCCTTCCAGAAAGTGATGCACACTCGCAAAAGACATTCTGAGCTGTACCATGAGCTCAACCACTCGTCCAAGTTCCACACCATAGACAGGTATAGCAGGGACCCAGCCATGTCCACATTCAAGGTAAGACCATTGCCCAAAGCGGGACGGACCCCGCTGTATCAATGCATATCCACCCCTTCCGCACTTTTTCACAACCCTAAAACCCAACCCCTTTAACACTAAATAATTTAAACAAATTATATCAAATTCTGACTTCCGCTCAGATTTAAATTGCAGTAGCATGCTTCACAGAAAGTAGTGGTCATAGCCTATCCACCATGAAGTACTTTTGAAAGTGGCTGTATTCATAGTATTTTCCAGCTAAAATGCTGCCTTAGAAAACATCTAATGTAAATAGTGTTTATTGTATTCACTGTTGTACTTATTATGACACCCTTGGGGAATTGAGCAATAACTACCTCATCAATACAACTTTAGAGGCACAATTTATTCCAGCTTACTTACGGTAAATATATTTTTATACCTGCTGTAAATAACCTGAACCTAATTTGTTCTCACTTGTGGTTATTAAATACCTGTCAAAACAGTTGATAACTTAAGCTGTTAGCTGAGGGAAAATCAATCAAAGCTGTTTAATAAAAATCCAATTGTAGCAATTTAAGACCTGTGAAACTATTTCTCACTCTTTCCAAACCACCTCACAAAATTGCAATGCTGATAAACACGATTGTGCCTTCACACACAAGTTTTTTTGTCTGTCACATTGGTTTAATCCGTTTGTTTTTTGCATTCATTGTCTGTTTACTCTATGTTTAATGTGTCTATGTGGGGTGTGTGAGATGGGTGTGTGCGTCAGTGGGGTGCTTGGGTTTGCAACTGTGCGCATAAGACACAGAAGTATTCTTGAATCATTAATAAGCAGCAGACGAAAGAATCCCTGCTGACCTTCAGAGGGCCAGTTGCATTACAATGTAAGGACACACGCATCTGCTCACACTTCCTTCATCTGCGGAGCTTCAGTGCGTAGAGCCGTGATGAGTTGGCCAACCTTGTTAGGTGTACTTGTCCCTGGCATCGGCACCATGCTGGCACATCTTATTTACAGCGCCAGTAGAGCAACAGAGGCCAGCCTTAAATCGCACATATTCCCCACGCCACGTAGCAACATACTGTACACATACACACACATATGCAAAGACGCTGCCATTTCCCAATGCCAGACCCCCGGCCTTTTCCTTCACTCCTCATTTGCTCAACGTCTTGATCAAGACTTTCAGAAGCGTTAGCCGTCTCCCCATTCATTAATTCCAAGCTAAAGACTTTGTGGAAGAGAAGAAAAATAGCAGGCATGAGACATATATTAGTGTGTGGTTCTTACCAGTTGCGCTGCAGAATGCTAATGTGGCTCAGAAGGAGAGCAGGTGTGCTTTCAGATTACGTCCAATGGTAAAAGAAATGAAAGCACAAGCAAATAATAGATGGGCCTTATTTTAGGTAATTAAGACAAGTTGAAACGCACATTTCCTCTGGGTTTGTGATGTCCCATACGCTGTGAAATGAAAGGAGAGCATAGATATGGCTTACTCATCCAAATCCATTATGTTTAAAGTAAGTAGGCAGTTCACTTAACTGTGAATAATTACATGGATAATGCTATCAGTGTCAGGCCTTTGACAGGACCACGCTTGAGTTCAGCTCCGCTGTTGTCAACATCTCACTTCGAGAGTCACCCCCGGACACGGACATGCTGACTATACAGTAATTATGGAGATGAGAAGGGAGTGTGTGTGGGTGTGCGTGTCCGTACACTTAAATATCAGAGTGCCTACTGTACGTGTGTGGCTGCTTCCCTTAGTGCGTGGTTGTAGGCTGGAGTTTGTGTGTGTATGAATCTTTTTTTATTTTTGTATGTTCATCTGTTTTTTGTCTGAGATCAGTTTGCTTCACTTTCTGTGTTCGAAGCACACATGTTTAAGAGCGCATGAGTAATGATATAATTGTTTCATAATACCCTTAATAACCTCCTTTCTATGCCATATAGCAAACACCGACAGTGATTTTAACATTTACTAGACAAGTGCTGTGATTTAATTGCAAACATAATTGCATTTCACTATGCTATCTTCTCACGGATGGACTCCCACAGTACTTTTACATTTTATATTCACCCTTAACTTTGTATGGCCAATTTACTTAGTCACTCAATATTGAGCTTTTCACCTGTAGTGACATGGGAGGATAGCCAGTTCAAGTCAATACAAAACTAGTAGAAGGAAGAACTTCATCTGCCTTACTTGTCTAACCATTTACTGTCACCTACCTCAGGCAACGACGCCTCAAAAACTCATTAACCCCCCCTGACTTTTGCAAGCCTTTCTCTACTTCAAAGTGCCTAAACAGTATTTTAACCCGAACATAAACAACTTTAACCCCTTCTAACCACCCTGGACTGTTCGTTCAACACAGGTCCCCCCTCCCCCACCACCAAGGCACAACACAGAGCCATCGCTCGTACGAAGAGCCTCCCTCGTTTACAAAGAAAGTCAACGTAAGACCTAATAAACCAAGCATAAACCTTGTGCAGTAGAACCCACTTAACTCACAATAAGACTTGAGTTGACGCGCTACATGTGACTGTATGTGTCATAGTTTGCCACTGTATGTGCTGTATATGTGTGTCAGGGGCTGCAAAAATATACATTTTATATTTTGATTGATTGATACATTTATTTCGAACAAGTAAAATAAATAATTACAAAACAAAACAAATGTTGCAGTGCATAGTCATGTAAGAGAAATCAAAACAAAAAATGACATTTACAACAACAGCATTAGCATTAGCAACATAAACAGTGCCACATCTAGTGTTCGAAAAGGAGTGAGAAGAAGTATAATTTATTTAATCTCACCCCCTTGTCCCTAAATGATTTATTTCTAATCTATAATCTGCAATAATTATAATTTGTATGCATTATTATTGATATTATTAGTATTATTAATCGGCTTTACCTGTTGATTGACATATACACATATACATACACTGATATACATATATGCACACATACATATACACACCTGTATTAAATTGACTGTTCGCTAAACAACTGTTAATAAGCAGGGGTGTTGAGTTTGGATCTTTCCACATAGGGCTGTTGGCTACTTAGTATGGGCTCAGAACAGTCTCATAATACACACATGCACACAGAAGGATTCACACTTGTGTTTCCGGATTCACACTTGTGTTTTCAATGCACACACAAATGTGTTCCGTTTCATATTTATGTAAATAAAATCCAATTACAGAAAAAAGTTTTACAAATGTATTTTTGATCCACACAAACCGCTTTCTGTGCACGGATCGCTGTGCATTCGTGTGTGGGTTTTTTGAGACTCCCCTGACGGTCACCCGATTCGTACTTGTAATTGTTTCTATCTATAGCCAATCAGATGTCTCCTTCATTCTAAGCCAATCACATGAGCGCGCCCCCACGAGGGTATGATTTATTCCGTTCATGACACTTCATATACGCATTTTGCGCAGTGCGGTCAGCTCGCTAAACAAAGGGCGGAGCTTCAGGTGATCATGCAGAGCTGCGTGTCTCCATCAGACTCAGCAGCTGATCTGATCTCTCTCTTGCGTCCGGTTATACTTCACTCGCGTTTATGTCCATATCGATCAGATCCAGCTCTCCTGATCGGCCTTTATAGAGAGCACCGATCAAACTATTAAGAGTGAATATCGGCCGATAATGACCGGCGGGGCTCCCCCCCCCCTCCCCGTTCACTGTCTAGCACTGGCTTCGTAGTGCACTGATCGATTAGGCTAAGCTAACCTGTAGCTGCTCCCTCCACACTCACAACAACTTCATACAGACATAAATAAAGCAGCTGTATTCGCCATACAGGAAACACACATTTAAAACGGGTTTGCCTGCCGTTTGTGTGTACACAAGCATTCATCAATGGTTCGGAAAGTGGCGCTGTACCTTAATAATATAAAGGCTTGTATTTGCGTGCATTTCCTGTTCGGAAAGTGGCGCTGTACTGAGAGTGGAGGGTGTCCTGAGATTAGCGCCTGCAGGCAGGCTCCATGGACCTGTCAGCTCCGGACTGCGCAAAATGCGTACATGAAGCGCTACGTCATGAACGCAAGAAATCTACCCTCGTGGGGCGCGCTCATGTGATTGGCTTAGAATTGAGGAGACATCTGATTGGCTATAGATAGAAAAAATTACAAGTACGAATCGGCTGACCGTCAGAGGAGTCTCAAAAAACCCACACACGAATGCACAGCGATCCGTGCACAGAAAGCGGGTTGTGTTTGCAGGTGCAGAGGTTTGAAACGGAAAACAAATATGTGTGGATCAAAAATACACATGTAAAACTTTTTTCTGTATTTGGATTTTATTTACATGTATATGAAACGGAACACATTTGTGTGTGCATTGAAAAACACAAGTGTGGATCCGGAAACACAAGTGTGAAACCTTTTGCGGATCATGAAATACAAGTGTGAATCCTTCTGTGTGCACGTGTGTATTATGAGACTGTTCTGAGCCCATAACTTAGGGCAATCCTCAGCATTTAAGAAGATGGTGTCTGTATTTGTAGCCTTTTAGGAAAGTATATGGATTAAAAAAAAGTGTTAATGTGCTCCAAGCTGTTTCTGTAAGCATGTCCGCCTAACTAGCTTTCAGTAACTGAACATCACTTAAGGCCAAGGAGCACACCTTTAGTGTTTGTGTTTACAAGTTGCAATAGCAGAGTTAAGGCTTACATTAGCAGTTCAGTTCAGTGCCCCTTTTAGGACTCAGGATAGTTTACCTTCAAGCAGCCAAAGCCAACATGATCTGGTAAAGAAGTAAGTTTGCAAAACACAGTGGTTAGTCCTCATCCTAAAAGCCTTTACTCTTGTAACGTTAGAAGTGAAAACATATTGTACAAATATGTATGCAAGCTAAGCAGTCAAACAGGGTTGCAGTACAATAATCATTCCAACATGTATCCTTATCATAATTGGCAAACTGTACAAGGACAAATGTATAGAAAGATTGCCTGGGACTCCCAGCTTAAACTAGCTAATCAAGCTACCCAACTAGCGTAGGAGGCTGGGGTTAAACGAACAGTCAATTTAGAGTGAGGTACTTCAAACCTAGTAAAGTAATACATGCTTCAATACATGTTTAGTGAAAAGTATTTTCAATATTTAATTATGTGTATGTATACAGTCACAAAGACAGTGTCAAACTATAATTCACATCTATGTGCTCATCTACCCGTCAGCGCTGTCTCATGGTGAAGTGACTGTGTTTGATGAGCCTAAATATTAGATAGTCCCCTAGTGGTGTGGTGGTGTAACAGTTCAGTGCGTCAAAGCTTTTACCTCCTGTGCTTCTGCATTCATATTATGAATGCTCCCCTTCCTGCATCAACTCCTGTACAAATTCATTTTGAAATATACACTCTGGAATCAGTAGCCAGAGAGATGGATTTGTAAGGTCGTTTGATGCAGGACTGGATTTACCTACCATGATAAAACAAAATCATAAAAATATATTTGGGAGGTTTTTTTTGTTGCTGTTTGGGGTTGCTTTTCCATTCCTGTAGCGCCTGTGTGTGGTGAGACAATCCATTCACTCATAGTTCCCATTTCAGTGCCAGAATTAAACCTTATGACCCAAACACTATAACCAAGTGATAAATGAGTTCATAAAAACAATGACCCATCCAAAACCGATTTATAATCACCTCATAAACCATGATACTCCATAAACTAGCTCCTTGGCACTAAAAAGGGACAAACATGATGCACTTTGTGTGGGTGCCTATAGGAGAAATATCACAAAGACTTATGGGGTCAGAAGGAACCTGATTCATGTACTTCTCTGGAAAGGTAAGATCTCTGTTGAGGGGGTGAGTGGATATCAGACATTGTCCCCCACACACAATTATTATCTTATCCTACAGTATTTCTGTTCAACGGCAGTGGGCTTAAAGTGGCATCACAGATAAAATCCACACACTTCAATCTCTTGAATGTCCTTGTCCACCCATACTCATACTGTTACTTCTATATTGCTCAGTAACTGGTAATGCCTTATAGATAGAGCCTTTTAAGGATGATGCATGTGATATGCTGTATAGATGTAAACGAGATGGAACTACTTGTCAAGAAAGAAGGAGAATGCATTAGCCATTAACCTCAATGTTGGAAATCATCTTGTCTGTCTTTTCTATTAGGCTGCTCGTGTAGCTATTCCATTACTCCGTAGATACATGTAGACGTTGCTCTCTGTTGCATATTCTGTTTTTAGAAAAATAATATGCGTGACCTTTCAAATCTACTCTGCAAAATGTCTTACTGATAAACAATCGCTAACAAAGGTCAGTTGCAGGCTGTGACACAAACATATGTTTCTCCAGCCAGTTTCAGACATCGGTGTGCATTTGTAATGCAGCAAGATACATAGCAACTGCTATACAATCTGAAATGTTGCTACGAAGTTACAGAGGTCACTTCAATCTAATGTGGATTGATTGTAGATTGTTTGCTATTATTTTCCTTTGTTGACATCAGAAAAAAAGCTACTCACCTTGAATCAATTGTTTCGGTATAGATGCACAAGTGTCTGCACTCATAAGAAAACCATATTGCAGAGTTACACTTGTTTTGTAGCCCTATTGAAGTGGATAGAAAGTGGACTTCACATTAATGCAAATGATGAAAACAAATCCAAATCCTTTGTTTAAAGTGCAGTGGATGCTCAGGCAGGGGCCATATGGCTCGCAGGGTGATGGAGTCCTTTTGCGTTATCTGTCTCGTAATGGAGAGAGTAGACAAATGGAGTCAGTGGGGTTACTGAGAGCCAGAGTAATGCAGTGTTTTTGTACCTCGGTATGTAACAGCGATACTGTGTGCGCTAATGTTTATATCCAGAACTGCTTCTTGGCCTCCTTCACTGTGGAGTTACCCTGTCATTTTCTATCCTCTCCACAGGGTTCAGCAGGTCATAACGCAAATATGCATGCAGTGCTGTTCCTCTCTGTGTGTGGGTTGGACGATGTGTGCGAGAGAGGAAAAGATAGTTTGCTCTGCATGATGGCCTAGCTGATGCATTTTTTAGCTCTCAAATGGGATGTATTACCATCCCGTCGTCTGCTGTGTTCTTGATTTAATGAAGCGTGCTTGGCTTCGCTCTCCAGATAGACAGTGAGAAGTTGCGCGGAACGCAGTGGGATGGAGAAAAAGACAAAAGAAACAAGTGCTCTACTTTGTTATGAATTCACTCATGCTAGATCAGAGTAAGGACAGCGAGGACATTTTCGATTATGAAAGATGTATTTGCAATTCAATGGAAATGGCATGTGTTTGAATGATATGGTGGAATTAAAGTGTATATGGCTACATATGGAAATATATTCTGGTATAGTCTAAGAGGTTGCTCCTATTATCCTTTCCCGTGTAAAACCAAAGAAAATACAAATGAAACAAAAGATGATACAGACATGATCCAGTACTATACAAATGAATGCAATAACAAAACGAAATATTTAATTAATAATTGAATAATCTGTAGTAGTATTGTCTGATATCAATAAACAACAAAGCTTTAGCTAATTACACGTCCGCAATGCTTCCTCAGTTAACGTGAGTGGCTGTTATTGATAGTGTAGCATGTTGTTAGGCAACTGAAGGGGATTGTAGCTAAGGTAAAGTGTACGCTTTGAGGATGTCTCGTGTAGAATGCTGATGTATCATTTCAAATGACAAAGACTACATTTTTGTTGATTCAGTAAGGGCAATTTGCCTGCACTTGCAAACCCTGAAGGTTTTGATAGTCAATTTTCTAGCATTAAGCTACTGTAGAGGGCTTTCACATCCCAGCAATAAACCAAGTCATCCCTTCTTCTCCCTCTCCATATCTCATTCTCCCTTCTATTGACATTTTATTTCCTGCTGTCTCTGTCGTTGTCCCATTCCTCCCTCTAAACTCAGCCCTCGGTGGCAAGTTTGAGGCATTAATTGAATAATTAATTCCTCTCATTAGCTTGTTTTTAATTATGTCCATGCCCCCTTCTCCGTGCCGAGCATAAACTCATCAACTGTTTTCATCCTTCCACACAAATTGCCCATGAAAACTGAGGGTTGGCGGAGTGTAACTTTAGCACACTGGCTCTATCAGTGGCTCCTAATGAGGGGCCTGTTAGCCCAGGCGGAACAAGCCTAACACTGGCTTCGTGCACCAAGAGGCACAATACTCATTTAGCTCATTTAGTGTCCTTGGGCCAATTAAAGGGAGGTGAAAAGGGCCGAATAGCTAGCTGGAAATGTTCTCACTATAGGCACTGGCCTTGGATTACATCGCACTGATCCAGACAGCAGCAAACCAAGCCTGTGTGTCTGATTGCTCATTTGTTTGCAATGCGTTGCACTAATGGAATTTATTTTCTCTACATTCTCCTGATTTGGCTCATTTGAAGGGCCTTATTATTTGTGACACAGATTCCTTCCCAGCTAAGGGGTAAATGGTCCTAAAGACTGCTATGCCCATTTAAGCTATTTAGTGCCCTCTAATAAATGATGCCGGTACTGAATAGGCAATTTGGATAATTATCTTGATAATATAATATGTGGTAACACACATACAAACCTTGAAATAGCCCAGTTCTGGTTCAATGACCCAAAGCCCACTGACAGCTGAAATACTACAGTCATGTTCTGGTATCCACTCAGTCTGCTCTTGCATTGTTTGATGTTGCTTTTACTTTTTCTTTGTGTATGTGATTTTAGTTTGTGTCACGTGACACTAAGTGTATGTCCTTTCTTTACTGCCACATTTTATTCATTTCTGTTTTTTTGTTTTGTTTCCCGTTGTTTGTGCTTTGTTGGCGGACTGGGCCTTGTGTTGCATGCTTGTTCTCATGTCCCAGTATGAATGTAGCCAGACAGTCAACAGAACCATGGGCATCCAAGTCAACAAAGGTAAAGTTAACCCACTTACCCACAACCACCTGTCCTCCCCCATCATCTCCCAAAAACATCCCGACACATTGCTCACCCACATCTAGACACAATTTCCATTCCATGGTCCAAATGAGGGGGACTCTGAGTGGCAGAGAGTGGGCCTCATCCACCAACACTGTGGCGGAGGCTTCTTGAGATGGCTTTAGATGTTTGTGCTGTAGCATCTTGTTCTAGCGAGTTCTATCCCTAAACAAACTCCCCTTCATGTAGCTGTGCCATGCTTGTAGCTTGTAGTTTTTTCTCTCGGAAAAAAACCTGTCACTTGCCAAGTTGCCTGTAACCTCAAGTGTTGGGCGATCAGGCAGAACATTTCACATTTCTAACTGTCACACCTTTGGCAATCGTTGGATATTTGACTTGTGTGTTACTGCAACATACACTTAATTGTATCCTGCTGTGCCTAAAAATTCAAAAAGCAACCATTGATTCCTCTTCCTTTAAAATGGTGCCGTTGTTCAGGTACAGTATCGGTGAATGAAACCCTGTGTTGCCAGGTCCATAACAAACACTAATGAAGCACAAACTTTGATTTTTACTGGTTGAATATTTGAATCACGTTCGTTTCTTTGAATGCTGATGAGAAATATAAAGGCACTCATTACGGTGATGAAACATTTCCAGAAACAAAGTCTGTCAGACATTCATTTAGCCTATAACTAATGGCACACAATGTTCATTTAGTTTCCCAGGCCTGACATCTTTGGCTTTTTGAGAGGCTTTTTCTGTGGTGTGACATTTACAAAAGCTGCATGTTGAGTCATTAAAGTGACAAATAAAAGCAGAGATATAGTCGATAAGTTCATCTCAAGATATACATCTCTATTTGTCAGTTTAATCTTTACCAATATAATATTACATTTTGATGTTTGATGTGTTCTTTAGGGTTACTAAAAACTAAAGCAGATTAATGTAGTAGGAGTAAAATGTACTCAATACTCGCAGTATTTACATCCACTGATGCCACTGAGAATATATGATCTTATAGAATTAATCTGTTGTATAATAATAATGCAAATTAATAAATGCTTTCCATATAGGCAGAGCTAATGAGCACTTCACATATGGAGTTAAATCCATCCAAAGGCAATGTGCTTCAGCCTTCAAATGTTTTTAATTTCAGCAGGGGTTTGTTTTTTTCAATGTTACACACCACCACCCGAACACATTTAAACACTTTCACAAACAGCTCAATTATGTCTGCTGCTTTTTACATTTAAGAAATAAACATACATGTGTGCACTGCGGAAGCTTTGCAGCAGGGCACAAAAAGCTCCAGTCAAATCAGCCAATAGTAACCACGTTGTAGGTGCTTCTCAAGGGAATCAATTTGTGCCCAGATAGTCCTTCTCCTTTGTTGCACTAGTGTTGCTGGACTCATCATAAACTCACACCCCGGGCAACCAACAAGGAAATTGTGTTACCTCAACTGCACATGTTAAAAAAAAAACCAGACCTCCCAAACAAAATCACAGCACCCCAAGCTGCAGTTTTCTGGCAGGAACATAACAAAAAAACGATAGATAACTCAGAGCTACAGCAGGGGAAACAAGGTTTATGTTTTTAAGCCTCAGGCCGAACATACAGAGTCAGCAATGTCCACTTTATTGCCTAGCTTTAACTATTTGATGTGTTGTGTTAACACATACAGTATCCAATCAATAATGCAGATAGTGTAGATAGCACTTCCTTGCACTAATAACCACATTCGTTATCTTCTTTCAACATTATTTAGAAAACATGAGCCACGAAGCCTCTAGCACTGCACAGTAGATTCACAGTTACGTTTTTCGAATCAGATCACTCCACACCCACATACCCTCGTCTCTTTCATCCCTTTTCTAGTAGTTGCAGACGCTATTTGTGGTGCGTAGCATGTGGAATCCTTCCTGCAGTCTCTCTGCCCTTGCTTTGTCAGGTTGTCCTCTAATCGTTGACAGGTTAGGACGATAAAAGTCAGCTGTTCCAACACAGTTTGAAAATGTGTGAAAAAAACCTGAGTGTTTGATCACTGGTTTCTGCCCATGCGTGCATATTGTGTGTGTTATATGTTGTAGTGAGAGAGTGGGGGGGGATTGAGAGATGGAGAGAAAGAAGGGGCCAGGTGTAAGCACGAAGCAACAACTGCCTGTTCACCTGCAGAAGGTGTGGGAACAATGCTTTTGTTTCAGGGCAGAGTTGTCAGTGACTGTGATCCCCCCCCCTCCCCTTCTTTTCTCTTTCTTTTTCGTCTTTCTGCCTCTCTCTCGTCACCCCCTCCTTGTCTTCTCCCTCCCATTTCATCACCACAGAGGGAAAAGCGATGGAGCATTTCGTCTGCCGGAGGTGAAAAGAACTCGTCGAGTGTAAGTAGAGGGGTTTCTGGACGAGAGAGAGAGGCAGTAAGAGAGGGATGAGATGGGGCAAGGAGGGAATGGAGGCAAGGCAGAGATGGCGAAAGGGAATGGATAGACACGAAGTAGCAGCACAATCGCGTTAGCCTGGTCTCCCTGGGATAAAGTTGGGCTTAACTGCAGCATTACTCACACTCCTGCATTACAAAATGTTCCTTCGCCAGCATTTAGCATGCAAATTGGCTCCCAGATTATTCCTTTTGTATTCATTTCACCAACTGTCAGGCTGTGACGCATGGAGAATGATAATCAGGCAGATATTGCCCTCTAGCGCTCTGGCGACGATCATCACACTGCAACGGGGGGGGCGGGGGGTGTTACTGCAGATCAATGACTGGTTTGTTTGTCTCTCTGTTGAAGAGTTAGACAGGGATTGAGAGTTTGAATAGCTCAAAGAGAATAACAATAATAGTAAGCAGGTGGGATTGTGAAAAGGAGATGAAGTTGATGGTATTGCTAGGATGTAGTGGGAGAGCATACAGTAGTGCTCTCTGGAATGGATAGGCACAAAGAGCACACATTTTGTGAATATCCCTCCTCTAAATGTGAATATTCAGCTCCATGTAGTCCAGAAGCTCTGCTGCATCTGGGTCCATCCTGTCCCACATGTAATCTGTCTTGTGTTTCCTGTCTTTGTATGTTTCTCTCGCTCCACCAAGAGTCATGTGGGCCAGAGATCCCTCATGTCTTTCCCAGCTCGTATCGGCAAAATCATTATCTCTGCGAGATAACGAGTCTGATTTGAATAATGCCCCTTAGCTGAAGCATAATGCTACCTCCAATTAGGATTTATTATGAATCCCCCGACAAGTATTTTACATGCGTGGTGGGCCCTTCTGCGGAACACATGCGGAGCCCGGCTCAGAAGGTCTCATGATATCAGTAGTCTGGAAGTCACTGATTGGGAGAGGTGGGAGATAAAGGAGGACAGGTATCTCAGTGGTAGTTCGATGATAAAAAGGCACGGTAGAATGGAGCCTAGGATTACAGGTATGTATGGCACTGCTTTTCAGTGTTCTTCTAAGAAATGCCACTGATTGGTTGGACTCTGTGTGTATGTGTGTGTGTGTGTGCTGGTACTTTGAAAGGTGAAGGTTCAAATATAGCTTCTGCGAGTGCATATTTATTCATCTCCAAACTGCATAATAGCCATGAAAGGCTAAGGCAATGGTTTTCTATAGGCTCTTCATTTTATTACAACTTGGGTTTTCTTTTATTGAGTTGCCCATCATTTCTACCTGTGTTTATAACATTGTATTCACCTTATTTTAATTGCTGAAAGTTGTAAACAACAAGTTTGACGTGTCAAGAAAACACACGGTTAGACATTTTGTAATCAAGCAAAACGATGAGAGATTATCTAATATAATGAGGTTACATTAGCTGCTAGTAGCATAGCACACCCATATCTGACCGAATTGGCCTGGTCGAGTTGCATTTTGGGAAATGTAGGTTATTATCAGTCGCCTGGAAAGTTGTCCTATTTGGCTAGTTTTTAATCTGGCCTTGCATGGAGGTGACGTTGTAGAATGATGGGTGTCGAAAACAGACAACAGGTATTTATTTATTTATTCAGCCATTTTCCTTGATTCTAACTTTTGTGTTTCTTTCACAAAAACGATGAAAACGCTGTTATTATAACACAAATGGTGTCCAAACCATCAAATAAGACCCCGGTTGTATGAAACAAGACCTTTTCTTTTATCACGTTATCACCTTAATAAGGAGCTTGATTTTCCTTACATGGCCCTTTTCCTTGTCCTCCTCCTCCATCAGGACAAGTCAACCCCGGAGGAGCAGTGCTCGTGGGACAGCTTCAAGACCATGACCCCGGAGCTGTCCATCGTGCCTGGGGAGCAGAAGGACCGGATGGAGCTGCACAATAAGAACTGGGACTCCTCCTCCGCTAACACGCCCGACTCATCCGAGGGAGACTTCCAGACTGAAGTGTGAACACACACACGGAAACACACTCACTTGAATACGCACTCTCGAACTTCTGAAAAGCTATACATAACTACATGATTTCTCGCAAAGATCTCACACACACTGCTCCCCCGTCTCCTGCAATGTGCTCTGTTCGGATGCGTTACTGTATTTGTTTACTGCTGCAGTGGACAGACATGGAAAGAAGACTGTTCTACCCTATATTTTCGCAAAGACTATTGAAGAAAGAGAACAGGGGCTCGACATGTCTGGGTACTGAAGAAGATTTTTAAATGAACTTGAAAAAAAACTATGAAAAACGTATTTCTGAGAAAAAAAGTCTTGATTTTATTCTGGAGAAAAAAGAAAATCTCTTTCAATTGTTTGAGGATTTGTGGGGGGGGGAAGAAAAAGAATATTTCTGCACCATTCAGTTCTTTTTATAGCAAGGGAAAACAATCTCAATGAGGTTTCTCACGCTGGTAGCCCCCCCTAGGCACCCTACTTTCATTTATTTCCTTTTCCCTTCTAATGAATGACAGAAGCATTCTATCTCTCAGTCTTTCCTTTTTTATTTAAGTTTTTTACTTTTCATCATTTCGGATTGGATGTGGGATGTGCTCATTGATATGTGCTATCCTCTGCTCCAGTTCAACAATCCCATCCATCCATTCCTCTCACATTCTGTGTCAACAATGTGTTTCCCCTTTTTTCTGTATTTTCTATGGTTTAGTTAAAAAAAAAAATGTCCTCCTCTATGGTTTGAAACTTTTAAATGAAAAAATAATATGATTGAAACAACTGTTCAAGAAGAATTGATTTATTTTCAGACTGGTTTCATTTCTGCTGCCTTTTTTATTTCCTTCATTTCCTGTGAGAATTAACCCATGTGAATCTTTAATACATTGAGAACACACACTGTATATGTGAGCTTACTTTCTGAGGGTGACGTGTGGCGCATGTTAGCCAACCTAGAAGGATGGCGATCGTCATGCTGATTCTCGCATCCCCTTTTTTCCCCAGTGCTTGGAGATAAAAGCCTTTTTAAAGATTGCAGCATCTGAATCCATTTCAACCATCACCAAAGTGAAAATAGAATATATCAGTCACTTTCAGCCCAAATGGACGTACCATCATGCCGCTTAGTGAACCGCCAATCCGTTTAGCTGCTAACTCGCTCTTCCCCTGTTGCTGAGGGTTTATTGTTTGCTTCCCTCAACCTTAGTAGGTGTTTCCACTTACCCTAGAACCCTTCCATTGATTTAAAGACAAATGCCTTTCTTTACTTTCGTCTACCATTTTTTTATTCTTCTCCTGCTGCCAGCCATGCATCGTGCTACCAAGAGGCATGACATCTTAATGTTAGCTGTGAAGCAAGATGTATAATTCTCATCCACATGGACACCTGTCCCTGTCATTTAATCCTGCACTTGTGAGCACAGCGGCTGCAGAAAGAGAGTGTGATAGAAAGACAGAGTCACAGAGGTTATGAGGCTACAGGGTGGCAGACGAGGCGAAGAGAAAACAGCCACACAAAAAATCAGCCAGTGGTGAGGCTTCCTGCTTGATATTCCACATCCGTACTTCGGTCGCTGCGAGAGGACAACCAGTTTCCTGCTGTTGCTACATTAGCACATCGTCCCCCCCACACACACCGGCATAGAGAAAGTGCCAGGGTGCAGGATGCATTCAATAGATGGTTCGATAACTTTTCTGTCTATGCTCAATGCTGCTCTCATTAGTCATTAGAAAGAGATGAGGGACAATTTAAGGAGAAAATAGTGCAAGAGACAATGGTAGCCAAGGATAAAAAAAGATTCAAACATATATACTTAGGAAGCTTGAGGCAGGAAGAGATGCAGATTAAGAAGGGGAGCTCTCAAAACTGTAATTATCCGGGGATGGCGATTTGTCCTGACATTTTCCGATGCAGCCCTCAAACCATCTGTTTAAAGATCCCTAATGTGGGAGTAGTGCGGCGTGGCGCAGATGGTGAGACAAGAGTGCGGCTCTCCTACCCTTTCAAGTTAATCAGCTGATAGACAAACATAACGCTCCCCTCCCTCTCAGAGGAGCGAGATAGGTTCGGCCCCCAGAATGCAGAGCTATAAGGTCACATTCACCTGACCTTCTACGACGCTCGGGACCCAGGTGTAGAGTGTCCAAAATGGAAAAGGCAGTGGCCTCACACAGTCTCATTCAGCTGGCGTTAGTCTATAGCAGAGGAAACATCAGTCTCAGGGGAAACGAAGTAGACTTAAATGTAGACACGTTTTTTGTATACATAAAACTGTTTTAAGGACAATGCTATGAATTCTCTACAAAGCCTTGTTCCCATGGTAACTTAAAAATGGGATTTGAAGAAAGAAAGAAATGTGATTACAGAGCACTATGAGATTTTGTTAATTACCTTTTTTCCGTTATGAGCTTTTCCATACTTTGAATAATGTGACAGGTTTCACCTCAATGAGGGCTGGAGTTTGCTGGTTTTCATCTTCAGGAACGGTAAGTTAGATGCTGCCTGATTTATTGCGAATGAGATGTTTGACCACGACTAAGGATCTACACACAATTGTACAGCCGTCTTGTCTTTGATTAACTCTGATGTGATGCGAATGCTAACACATGACGGTTTGAGTCATCTTTTTCATTTGTGTGCTTGAATCCTGCCAAACTTAGAATATGAAATACAGCCTTGGATGAATGTCCAACCTAAGGCGGAGGCCAGCTCCAAAACCTACTTCACTCACCTCACCTCCACTCTTCAGCCTTTTGATGCTTAGGTGTTCATCGCCTGCTTCAACCATCCAACAATCCAGCTGATTTATTACTGAAAACCCCTCCCTTCCCTTTTCTCTCATTTTTGTTCTTTTTATACATAAGATTGTACAAAGTAGTCCTCTAATGTTTTCATAGTGTCTTTTTATATGAAAATAAATTTTCAAATTGATCTCAGTGTCTCATATGTGCATAAACACGCTGCTTCAAGGGCATCTCGATGAGCACGACTAGGCTCTGCTGTGATTTGCAGTGTACTCGCAATCCCACATTTTCACATTGGGTGTTGGGCATGACAAACTCTGTTACCCAGAAGCATTGAAGCTTAGCTGTGACCAATCAGAGTCCCCGCTGGTCTGTCTGAAAATGTAAGAGGAGCAGTTCTGTGGGTCTTGAAGTCATGTTGCACTGGGGAAATGTCAACTCAAAGTGATTATTTCATTAAAATGTATAAATCTGAGCAATGTTTATGCTATAACAATTTTGAGAGTGATTTCCACAAAAACGGTTTTGATGTAACACGGTGAAAATAGTCACAGCATATAGGCCTTGACAGTCAAGTCAGTGGTGATGAAATGAAGGAACAAGAGGCAAGAGATGACAACAGTCACATGCCTCAGTCATTCCACATTTGTCCTCCGAGAGGCTTGTAGGTAATTCAATGTGGTTGACTCTGCCCGTGGAGCTGCAATCACTCACCCTAGAGGAAGGCCACCGACTGGAACTTTCTCAAGGAAGTGAGGCGGAGGTCAGAGGAGGAAGAAAGTACAGAAGGCAACCAAGGGCAAGATGCATGGTGACAGTAAAGGCAAGGATAAGCTTTTCACATTACACCTGGCAGGAGAGTCACAGAGATCAGAGTTTCCTCAAGTCTGTGGGTACTTAAGTTGTAGTAATGGCATGTCACCAGTGACCTAAGGAGAGATCTGATTTAAAAATAGGAGTGGAGACAAAGTGAGGAGTGGTCAGACATGAGTTGGAGGATGAGTTAACACTTTCATCTTGAATGACTGAGGTAGTGTCCATAAGGAACATCTTGTCTTGGCTTTTTGGTCTATGCAATGGAGACTGGACAGGACATTGTGTCCCTGACAGCACTGGGAGAGAAAAGTGTGTTGCATTGCTCTGAAGAGAAGGTCCTGAATGTGTTATATTGCTGAGTCGAACACGAGCAATGCAGAGTGCTCAACTGTGGCTTTTCAAAAGTGACGCAGCAGGAAACGTTGCACTTTTCATGCATGGTCCAGCTGATAGGATTAATATTTTCTGTGGGTTTTTGCAACATCCAGCAAACAAGCGGTCATTGTTGTGGTGTTTTGTTTCTTGTGGTGTTTTCTCTTTTTCCTGCACACAAGACTCGCCAGTACTGTGACGTTAACCGCCCAAAAAAAAGAAGCATGGGCTGTGCTACGGACACCAAGAACAGAGAACATTCAAGCACCCGCTTATTAGCCAATTCAAAAGCCATCCTCAGTGGTTGTCTGCCTCATAAATATGTGTTAGAACGGGCCAGTAGTAGTAGTACACCCACTATAGGTTCAAAAGGCAGTTATCATTCACATGGGTGATCACCAATACAAATACAAGACGACACTAACCTCTATTGGCCGTAATAATTATGACGGGAGCAAATGAATAAAGTCTTGTGTCACGTGATGTAAAAAGAGACAAAGGATAAACGGCTAAATAATCACAGGACTTTTAAGAGGAGGCTGTGTTACGAACCGTGACTCACTGATATGAGGACTCAATTGCACAATCCGGAGACGAAAAGGTTTAAAGAAAAATAAACTTTAATGGATCAAAAACAAAGAAACACTCTTTACAGAGGGAGTGACAAAACGGTCACAAAACAAAACGCTCTCATGGAGGATATCACAAAAGGTACTTGGTCTCTCTATGGCTGCTTGAATCTGACTTCTTGGCATGACGAACAAGACGAACTGACAACAGACAAGGGGAGACAGGACAATATCAAGAGGTAAGTGGGAACAGGTGGAAACAATCAGGGGCGGGGCAGACGCTGACGATGGCGGGAAACAAGAACCAAGGAAGTGAGACAATGGAGTACAAAATAAAACAGGAAGTGAAACAAACAAAACAAACATGAACGTGACAAATACATAACAAACTAACATAATTGACGGGACACAACAGGCTGTTCCTTTTTGAAAACAAAAACTCAACAGTGGCTTATTTTAAGTTATTTCAACATATTGTACTTATTTAACCCGAAACTATGACATTTTCCGATACGTAACCAAGTAGTTCAATTAGCCTAAAGAAAGTTTAGTAAAGTTTTTTTGTTTCACTTACACAACAAACGGATAGGTGAAGTTTGCCCGTTTTGCACCATCTGAAACATTAGAGTTTGGTAATAACGGCTAATAACCGCCATTTTTTTTTTATCATTTCATCACAAACAAATTGACTCAAAGAAAACCTTGGAGTTATTCGCTGCTTGATAGAAACCTGGATGCGACAGGGGAAATAAATAATGCAGGAGGTGGTGATGTGCCCAAGGGCCCCTTGTAGAGCCAATCTGGCTAATGATATACTGTATATGTCAACCCAGTCTCATGGCATTTCGTGTTCACCAACACGATTTTTAATCTATTGATTCGTGTTCACCAACACGATTTTCCGCTTTTTTTCGTGTTGCACAGCACGATTTTAAAAGCAATATATTTCTATTGGTAATGACGCTCATGGAAGCACGGCATTCGTTTGTGTCGGCTGCCCTTAAAGGCAATGTGAGCGTCCATTCTCATTGGATAACGGAGAATTGTACACGCGGAAGTAAGTATTCCCCTTACTGTCGATTGATTTTACAGTGATATCTGCACTACTCATCGACTAAAAAACACCAGATTATCCTTGTTAATTACAAAACATTGATTGGTTTAAATTGTGTGCAATGCTTTTGTATTTTTCCCCTTCGATTCGGAGAAACAAATGTTTTTTCGGAGTAAAGGATGGCAGGAGACACTACACTACCCAGAATCCCCAGCTATCGTTTGGACTACACCATGTGCTCTGTTTGACAAACCCCGTGATAGTCCTCAAGCTCTGTGATTGGAGAGTGTGCTCCGAGGGTTACGCCGAGCCTCGAACGGCACTTGAAATGGGATGGAACCACGCAGACTGTCCAAAACTGGATTTGAACGGGTCCACCGCGTCCCCCCCCCCCCCCCCCCCCCTCCCCCTCCCCCTCCCCCTCCCCGTCCCCAGAACTACACATGCTGGCTATTCTGTTTCGCAACATGTTCTGTATCTATGGCACGTCTCTACTGGGAGTTGTAGTTTTAAAAGACGTTTTCGTATTTCCCATAATAAGAAGTTGCCAGTATTAAACTGTGTACATCCCTGGAGGTTTAGGGGATAGGAAACACTCAAATTTAAAACATAATTAATAAATGGGTGAAAATTGCTTGTGCCCATAATGGGCAGCATTAATATATATATACACACATGCCAGCTAAGGTCAGAAGAGCTTTATTTAACAGCTGGTCTTATGTTTGTGACCCCTGTTGTTAATTGATAACATTACATTACATTAATTGATAAACCTGAAACATGCACTTGTCAAGGTTCAGAGGCACATTTTGCAAATATGGCAGTAGCCATCGATCAGCTTAAGATAAGATATACTTTATTGATCCCAAGTTGGAACATTTGCGTTACATCAGCATGTGTAACAGTTAAATATGCAGTGGTGTTTATTTGTAAATCATTTAGTATAATCACACAAATTCTGTGTTTTATATTTAACAATTCTGTGTTCTTTATTTATTGATTGTTCAATACCTGACAAGGTCGGAGATGAAATATCTACATACATCTTATAAGAGTATAATACATTATGTATAATATCAGTTAAAATAAGTGCTTCAACATAGTTAACATTGCTGGAGGTATGCACAAATATTGATAGATGTCTTGTAATGCACTATTGAGGAACCTGCGACCCAAGTTTTTCATTCAATGCATAACTACACCATAGTTGTGTGGGCCTATATGATATGTCAATAAACCTTAGAAAATCTTGAAATCTTGAAAGGGATGTGCAAAATAGTCATTATATACAGTCTTTAATTAACTATTAGTAGAGAATAACGAGTAATGAATATACTTTATAGGGATCCTAATCATATCTAATAATAAAAATAATGAAATTCAATAACATGCTTTAACCACTAGGTGTCCCTTTATATCAGCTGTGCACCTTTATGGTGTAAATACAGCCTATCTACCAATTGGATCAAATATAAAAG